GATATGTATAACAAAATTTTGACAAATATACTATCTAATGAACTACTTGACTAATGTTTGAATAAGATTTTACAATTTCATTTTAAACAAAAACAACGGCAGATCTAGTAGCTGTCTCACCCCACACCACAGCAGGAAAAAAGCTTTACTCTGACATGATAAATTTTGATTTTACAAGTCGCAAAAATACTTCAGATTGCCAAGAATTTTCAAAATGTGACACCCTTTCAGAATAACACGTTTCTGCCTTTGTTTTTGTTTCAGAAGAACTATAAAGTGCTGTGAATTTTTCTCACAATTTATACGACAAAATTCCGACAGTTATTGCTTGGAAGGAAAAAACAATTTTACTATTTTTTGCAAGTAATTGCCAAAAGCCGTTTGTGAAATAAATCTCAACAACCGATACTTTCAAATTACAAAATTACAAAATTCAAACTACAAGAGATACACTTGAATGGGGAATGTTAACAAAATCCCCTAGAGACATTGATTATCAAAAAAAAAAAAAAAAAAAAAAAAACATTTAGCAATTGCAACATGTGTAATTAACAAACCTAGACAAAATGGAGGGACAAATCATGGTATTACATGAACTTACACCACCTTACATTTCTATTTTAAAGTAAAAAAAAAATTGTAACAAATGGTTTGTAACTTGTTTGAACATAAATGATGTTCTCATACGAGAGCATAAACTAATTTATACATCTGCTGCTCGATATACTGAAGACGCTGCCGAGAAAGAATTGTTAAAAAGCAGCAGAGTTTTGAAAATGGGAAACTTTGGATCACCTGACTTTTCCCTTCATCTTTATGCAAAAGTGAAATCTGTTCAACAAATTTATGCCACAAAAGCAATCCATAATTAACAAATAATTACAAAAAATATATATATATATATATATTGCATATACTACTCACCTAAACTTAAGAAAAAATAAGTAATATGAAGATTACAATCAAGAAGAGCAAAGTTAGATAAATAACAAAAATCGTTTAGTATACTCATGTTCTTTTAATGCACAGTTTAACAGGTAGACTTGGATTAGCCAAATCAGTTTGCAACTACATGTAATTATCGCAAATTGAGCCTTAAATGTGTGTACTTTATATACTCCATTACTCAAACAAAATGATCGATTGTGGTCCGTAAAATAACACTTTTCACTCGACAAGACAGCAAGTTTTCAAGCTTAAAAAGATTTTACAGATACGAGGTATTAAGTAACTAGATTTTGAGTCACCCTCGCTGTGGAGATGAAGACGTGTGATTTCACACTTGGCGATAGAATTATACAAATTTGGAACCCCAAACGGGGTTTTTAGATCGTAGTTTTCGAAACGGTTTTTGGATAAAGTAAACCTAAAAGGAAAATTGCTGAAATTTCCAAAAAATAATAATAATTAATTGCTTTATTAAAGGTCTAAACCGCATTGCATGCCTTCAAAATCAAAAATTTAATTCCGGGAGTTCGAAGCGAGAGAAAATATTGTAAATGCTATGGTCCAGGTGACGAGTGAAATGTTCGCCATTTAGAAAATAAAAAATATGAAAGTTTTTGATTTTTTGATAGAATTTTGTCAATTAAGCATTAAATAATTTTGAAAATTGTTTGAATTGATTATGTTCAATTTGTAAGATCAATAACTTAAGACTGCTTCAGTACGTTTTATTTCTCTTCAAACCACTTTAAAGGACGTAACATAAATCACCAAATGAGCAAAATTACATGATCAGGTGCTTTTTTTTCTTTTCATGAAAAGGTTAAATATCATCATTTTCGAATTTTCCTGGACTAGTTTTCCGTATTTCTGAGCATTACATTTGCATAGAAGTAAATATCAAGCCACAACTTGCTGTCTTGCTGAAGAATACCGCAAATAGTTTTACAAACGCCACGGGGGCAAACTCAGACTTATGATTATAGTAAGACATGTTTAAAGGCATAAGGGGCGGTTTTATTCTTTGGTTAAATATAACAAATTTTGTTACTAATGACTACGCAGTGTTAAATATGCTGCTATTTAATTTTTTAACGAGAGGCTTTAACATTGGAAGTTAAAGAATCATGGTAAATTGCTTTGGGCAGGGCGTTTTGATTAGACAACGTGATATTGACATTAGCTATAAATGAGAAATATCAAAATTACGTTCAAACATTACTTGCAAACTGGCGCTAGCATTTCGCTCCATATGCCTTGAAAATGTCTGCTTTCATAATCAGTCACGCAGAAAGCAGTGTGTAACTATTAACTAGGTCACATACTTCAATGGATCGAAATATTACGTTTTAGTATTATTTGTGAAATCATGCCAAAATTAGAAATGGAAGTTTATCAGTAATCCGTTATCCTGATCTTTAATTTTCAATTATGACTATTTTGCTGTTCTATAATTTTGACACAATCGTATTAAAACCAATTACAAAATTTCAACAACCAAAATTCGAAAAGAGCCATACCACAGAATTTTCCCCATCGTGTCTATTTCGTAAGTAAAAATTTACTGCCACAACTAATTTTACCGATGTAGTTTAAAATTCTGCGTAGTTAACATGAGGTACAACTGCAATTTTCACTGTCATGAAGGTATGTGATGAAATAAAGGAGGCATGGAGGACACAAAATATCACGTGGGGAAAATAATGATGGATGGCAAAACCCAGTGAACAACATGCATGCGTCAAACCCGCTCTTAAAATGCATCAAATATGCGTTTTCGAAAAATACCTAAAACCACTGTCTTAGAACGTTTCGTTGAATCGGTTAAAACTGAAATATCCATATACTTGGTATCCTGACCGCCTAGCATCCACACCCTGGTCACTCAGAACTGAAGAAGAAGAAGTGACATCTCTTTCAGGGGTTCACGTTTCAAATGATCCATCGGGGTAGAAGGCAGGAAAGGCTAGGTGACCGCCCTTTCTCTTTATCAAGTACCATAATTTGACAGACAAAATTTCATTAACAATGTACTAAAATAGTAAAATATAGGAAGCTTTTGTTTCCCGCATATTTCAAAATACACTAAAATAAATTAATTAAATTAAGTTTCACAACCTTACACACCCCAAAGTAAAATGACATAATGTAGGTCACTGGCTTTCCTTATATGGTATACAGCATGCTGCAATCTGAGCAGTTTTTGCCAGGTTTGACAAACCAAACCGTTCTATAGCGCCATCTGGAGGGGGAAAGAAATTATCATCTCTGCTGCAATCGGTACCTTAGCGTGTGTGTGTGTGTGTGCGTGTGCACGCGCTTGTGCGTGCTTAATCTCTAGCATCAGAGAAATGACGATAATAATGCAAATCGAACTGGCATATATACAAATAAAGTAATAGTCATTTACGAGAATCACACCAACAGTACATGTTATCTGCAAACTGTACGGGCATTACCTCTGCCCTCACGGTCAGCTGTCATCTTGGATCTATTAATTATATGAATCCAAAAACCATATAAAACGACCTTAGCATACTATACCAGTCTACCATGATGTGAAATGTAATGATAAAATAAATAAACCCATTATTAGAATAGACTTGATGGAATGTGAATAGATAATCTATCAAAAATCGGCTAAGTACTAAGAATGATGTGATTTTTCTTCAGTCAATAGCTAATATTGAGATAGGTTTTACCTCCAATATTTCGATGTCTATCAGGACATCTTCTTCAGGGAATGAGGCTATCCAGGTGTATAGCCTCTACTCACTAACCTATCTCAATATTAGCTGTTGACTGAAGAAAAAAATCACATCATTCTTATAACTTAACACAGCTGATGAAATTCTTTTCCGGCTAAGTACTAGTATTTTAACCAAATTGAAAGAAAAAAAGACATGCATGCACCACACTAATATATTTCATTATATATGAAAACTTCAGATTACGAAACAAAATTCCGACTAGGCTATGCAAGACGACCTCTGAGGAAGCCCCTGTCGATAGAGCAGCAATGCAGACAACTTCTGCGGTGGACTGGGATCTAAAAGCGCCATTAGCTAAAACTACCCATAAAAAAGTGTGTAAAACAAACGTCTTTCGAAACTCCCTACCTATAACCCTTGGCAGGAATACCGGATTGTTTAGAAGTATTTTTTCAAACACTGAGATCCCACAAAGAAGAGAATGCATCAAAACAAATAGAATATTAGCAGTCTTCTATTTCCAGTAACCTGGCCCATACTTTTGGCACCATCGAATTACCTGCTGCACACCTTGTCTTCAGTCAGTGAGTTGGAATCAATCAAATACAAGCCCAAACCAGAGACCCTTTTATGACCAAGAGCAACTTAATGGTAAATTTGAACAGTTTAGCGTAGGGCCCACCTAGCCAGCTCAGGGACGAGACCAACACAATATTTTCTGAAGCAGGCTGCCTACTCGGCATTATAGAGCAGCAGCTTGTTCAGAATCTGTCTTCATTTCATGGCAATGTTTAAAAACTTTGACTTCTACATATCACCTGTATCTGTTATTTGGCCTTATAAACAACTTAAACTGTCTAGATAACAAATTAAAACTACCGAAATGAGGGCACGTGCAATTTAGTTTTGAGTAACTTCCACAACCATTTTCATCTTTCCCTATCCAAACTTCTTAAATGTCCTTAGCTTGATTTAAAGGTTTTGTCAAATGTTATGACTAGACACTATTTGTCTGGATATATAACCATTACATTCACTTTCCTGATAGACCATTAGGGAATTAGCGGCATCGCTTTTTAAGCGGGGTCGGCCATTTTTTAGTCGTCGGATCAGTTAGTCCTCGGATCATCTGTTCTGAATGCGCTCTTTGACATAAAACAGCGATATGACTCACCATCCCTAGAAAAAATCCTACAGCCCATTTACGAAAATTCTAAAGATTTTCACTCATAGAGACACAGCACTTTTATTATTATTCAACCGAACAGAACGAGAAGTGTATTGTTGTATTAAAAAGGGTATAAAGGCTTCAAACTCAGCTGAATTCTCCGCGGCCCTGCTGCGTACGGGTATAATAATAAAAAAATCACATATTGTTCGTCTTAAGCAGCCTAGTTTCTCCAGAGGAACGTCTTTCTGCTATTTCATTCTCTGCACAGAGGGATCTCTCACTACGCCTAAGGTAAAAAAACGTAAATTTGTCTGGTGATGTTTTTTTAACCAGAAACAATTTTATCTTCAAGCCATTCTGAACGCAGGTTTTGCCTGAGGTTGAATGAACATTGATCCGTCGCAAGAACGTCTCTCGTGCACTTATTTTTGATTTCTAACCAAACGCAGGTGACAATGGCTGGAGAAGGGACGTACCAGTGCACCCTCGACGACGAAGCGTTGGAGACTGCGAAAAGAGAACTAAATGAAGACCCAATCGAGCGCGCATCGCAGATAGAAACGCTAAGAAATTGGGTAAAGCAGCAACCCCACTTGAGAGCACGAACAGGTAATCGGTTAAATCAATCAAAACCATAACCTCGTGCCGCTTAACCACATGTCAGCTCGTATTTTTTACTGTAACGTAACTCATCTTCATCTCCTTATTTCTCGAAGCAGGTATAAATAATGATTCAATGCAACCTCAGATTTCAAAATCCATTTTGTTTTAAATAGAGAGTGATTGGAGAAAGAAATTCTGCACAGGTACCTGATTGCCTAATGACGTTCAGCCAAGATTTCAACCGATCCCAATATGCAAAACCAAGGGTATTTTTAAGTAAGAAAGGAAAGATTGCACAAGGACAGTGAAATTTAAGGACACTATAAGCGTTTGCCAAAAACTTCTTATTTAAAACCTTACATACATTCTTTTAGATTACAGGTAAATCTCCAGTGCTCAGTGACTAAACTAATAAACATTTATACACAGCATCAGATGGGTGACTTCATGATTGCGATTTTAGGGTAAAATGGCAAAATCAGCTTCTCAAATTTCTCCTTTACCCGAGCACCCACGAACACCGTTTCATAGCCAATTTGAAGACACCATTAAGTACTCCAAAATCCTGCCAGCGATTTTTCTTTAAAACCTAAGTTCATATTTTATCGTTGACAAAGCAAATAACGCCTTTGTGCTTGAATAACTAATTTTGCAATTTCAAAAGTTAATTCGCTCTCTGGGCAATTGTATATTTTTTACTTTTCAGGTATCGTGATTGTTTTAAGTGTTTTATTATAATGATTAAGATATTTAAGTATAATTACTCGCTATGGGTCACACACACACACACACACACACACAGAGAGAGAGAGAGAGAGAGAAAGAGAGAGAGAGAGAGAGACTTCAAGGCATCACATCCAACCACTAGACAGGACGCCATTTCCCCACGTGTCTAATATCTTCATCAAGCCTGTTTTTTTTTTTTTTTTTTTTTTTCTTTTTTTTTTTTTTTGGGGGGGGGGGGGGGGGGAGACCAGTCCATAATCTCTTTTAAGTAAACCGTCCCTTTTTCAAAAAGGAAAAATCCCAATAACACTATACGGAAAGAAGAAGAAAAAGAAGTTAAATGTGACGCATTTCACTGCGTGCATCCCTACGGTGCACTTCAAAACTAGTTTTAAGACACGATTTTCTCATCTTTTAAAATTGCTTATTGTCAACGGCATTTGTACGGAAGAAAGGCCGCCTAAGCTTGGTGTAAAGCCTAATGGGTATGAGTCATAAGTCATTCGCTGATTGAAAATGCACTATGACCCTAGGTATCGCGATATTATTTTAGCTTACGCCAAAGTACTAGTACTTATATGCGTCTTCGTCTTACCTCTTTTTTTTTAGTTGCTCTCTATTTGCCGTCTGATCTGTTCATATTGGTTCCATTTATTTTTCAGTTTAGGGTTAAATGTGTTGAAAATAATTTTCTTTTAACGTAGATGACAACTTCTTGCTCAGCTTCTTGCGCCCTAGTAAATTCAGCCAACTTCGGGCGCAGGAGAAACTTGACAATTACTACACCATGCGGTCCGTACCAGATAAAGGTGTGCCTGAATGGTTTGAAAACCTTGACCCAGCCGATCCCAAGCTCATAGAACTGTTAGAGATGAAGTAAGTAAAAACCAAATACGTTACGTAACGGTTCCAATGGCGATAGTGCTGCCATTTAGCGGTCGCACTACACACTAAAAGTAGAAATTGTAGAAATACAACTTTGATTCACTTAAACTGAAAACTTCTATGACTAACGAAAAAAATCATATCATTCCAACATATTTGCTGATTTTTACAGATAATTTTAAGAATGTAACCTCTACAAGAATAAATTTAGGATAATATCTCCCATATATAAAACATACAGGCGAATTATCAGGGTGAACCTCTCAGTAAAAACGGACTTTGGTCGCGCATTCCATATTTCTTATTGAAATCATATTTAAATGCAAGTTGCAGTTGTAGAATCGTAAACAGCAATCGTCATTTCACTCAATTATTTGTTAGATGATTATCTTGTGTTGTATTATTTATTTATATATTTTATTTATTAACATGTTCTTCAAATTAATCTTTTATTCATTTAATACAGTGACATGTGGTCCCTATTGTTTACCCTATGAACTCTTTGTTTCAGAGTTCTCTTTCCATTACCTGGGCGTGACGACAAAGGGCGAAAGGTGGTGATCACTACGATGTGTAGGTGTTGAAGGTTTCCATTATAGAAATAACTTTCTCTTAGTCTGTGGACTCTAGTATTCTTCTGAATATCAAAATTTAAAACATTTTATGCGGCCTACTGCTATGGGGCGTACGAAGCTATGTAGAATGAACTTGACTAGAATGAACTTGGCTCGAGAATGACTTCACTTAACTATAAGACCTAGCTTAACTGTATATGAATAGGCTAATATAAAAGTCTCTTTGAAAGACTGAGAAAAACATAAATGAAACATTAAATGATTTCTTAATTTTTTACTGATATCGCCTTTTTTCTCAGAGGATATCAAATAGATATATGATCTGTCTGCACAGAAACTTTCTGGACAAGACAACATTAATAATAATGATGATGATGATTATGATAATGATGATGATGGATTATTCAGCTAAAAACATATAAAAATATACATTTTAATTAAAAATAATCGATTTCGGCCACGAGCAAATATGAAATAAATGTGTTAGTTAAGAGCAAGTTTTAGATATAAACACATTCGATAAACACAAATTTTTTGAGTTTGGAGGAAAACTTTAAACCGGGAACGGGATAAAACCGCTTTAAAGTCTTTTACTCCTTACGCCCAGCCAAGGCACAGTGCAGTTAATCTTGAGTCCACTTTTCCTAGCCTACGACCCGGCCAGACCTAACGTCATCGTGGATATGTGTAGGCTGATCATACTCACCCTGGATATATTACTGAAGGACGAAAAAACCCAGGTTTACGGCCTAGTGGACTTCACGGACTGTACTGACCTGTCTGTCGGCCACCTGACCCAGTGGACCAGAGATCTTATAGCGAAATCGGTGAAAGTGTTTCAGGTAAAAGTTGCAGTGGGTCCTGGATTATGATTTTTTGATTATTATAAAAACGCGCGCGCGCGCGCGCGCGTGCGTGTGTGTGTGTGAGAGAGATGGAATTGTCTATATGTTTTGAAGGATGAAAAATACCACAAATATAAGCAAAACACCCCAAGTCACATTTGTTTTATTTTTGTTAATGTTTTAACATTAAAATGAAGAACGCATTGATAACTTATTTTATTTTAAAAGGATAAAGTGCAGGCCTCTTGGCTGATATGTGGGCAATATGGCCTAGATTTGGAATTGATTTTTTACAGTTTTCATTTCTATAACTTCAGGACGCCTATCCAATACGATGGAAAAGTTCCAACTACTACAACACACCTGTTATCTTCAATGCTACATGGGAGATCTGCAAACTCTTCATGAAGGAAAAGTTTGTAAATCGGGTGAGATATATGACGGATCCTTTAAAAATGCAAGATATTTTCTTATCAAATTGAAGCGATATTTAAAGCATTATGTCTCTCTGGCTCATCACTGTATAACTATATAATGGCCAAAGACAAAGCACACAAGTAAGATTTATTGTTTGAAAGAAATGATGCATAGTATAGATCATAAAAAAATTTTGCGATGATATCAAACTGGTGTCTGTTAACCTGGAGAATGTTATCATGATCGAAACTGGAGAATGTTATTAAAATAATGTGACACATTAAATCAAAGCATACAGACACGAAAATTAAGATTAACTGGGTTAAAAGCTTTCAATCTATTTTAATTTTATTTCACCGATTCATCATATTTTGTAACACACAGAAACCCGATTAAAGCATGAGGAAATAATTGCACTTATTCTTTCTTTTCAAAGACTCACTTTCACTGGGGTAGTCTTGACTCTGTTTATAAGGAGATCCCAAAGCGAATGCTACCCGAGGAATACGGTGGCGAGGCGGGGCCAATGGAAGACATAATACGTGAGTATGTTTCATTTGGTCAGTATTACATTAAGTTTACATTTATTTTACATTAAAACTGTGACGTTGCAAATGAGAATCCACCAATTTGGTTCTTAACGAGGGCCATCTAACTTTATGGCCCAAAATAATCCTTTCAATTATGCAACACGTATACTGTTACTTAAACGAAAGAAACGGATGACTTAATGTCCATATCAAAACTTCATTCCCCAGAAAACTGGAAGGAAGAAATGCTCTCATACCGGGACGAGATATTGAAAGACGCTGAATACGGCATTGATGAGGAAAAACGACCCAAACCGACAGAAACAGCTAACGATGGCGAATGGGGTATTATGGGATCGTTCCGAAGGTTGACAACAGCTGATTAATACCACGTGATGCATGCAGATAAATGCCAACACATTAATAAACAAACCCTGTGGCCTGACGTGCAGTATTCCTTTAGAATGCATTGGTGTTTTTTTTAAGTTTCTCAAATGTTTATTATCGTCAGCTTGCATTTCTTGGTAAACACACTGAGGAACTTTCGCAGACGAGTCTCAGGGTGACTTTTTGCGTGTGTGTGCGTGTGCTGCCAGTTATGTTGGGGGGGGGGGAGAGGAGGGGTATAGAGCGATTGATGAACTAAACAGCTTAGTAAACAAGTATAGTTCACATTAAATATAGCCGGCTTATATATTTAGCCTATTACATTTTTGGCTAAGTAACACATAAATAGTGATGTAGCCTACTCACGTGCATATTAAAAAAGGGTAACGGTGTCTAAGAGGGCCTACTCCTCTACATAAAGAAGCTCACTACATTTTATACGCATATTGTAAAATCAGGCAGGCGCTTATTTAAGCGATAAAGACAATGACCAGCCGTTTTATTCGTCTATGGTCTAGGCCCTATAAGACTATATATGAAGTTAAGGCCATAGGGCAGCCAGAATACAGTTGTATGATCGTTAACTCAATACCAGAAGAGCATTCAGAGAGCGTAGACCTCCGCCAAGGTCTTTGTGCTGATTAATTGTGGTAGTTGAGAGCACATTCATTGCACAGCGGGTCAAGGTCAGTGACCCCATCTTGCAATGCCGAAGAATCTTTTTTATATTTTTGGATTCAGATGGTGATCCGGACCAAGAATCGCCACTAAAATCAGTTAAAAGTTAGCCTGTTCCTCGCCTATACTGAAAGTTTAATGGGAATCTATCCATAACTATTTGAGTTAGGCTAATGACAAGCAAACAAACAGAGAGACAGATAGAAAGACGGACGAACGAAGGAAAACACATGTACACAACCTTCTTGGCGGAGGTCATGAAGCAAACCAGTCGCTGCGTTCACGAAAAACAATATGCTATGAATCCACAACTCTACAGTTGATATTGAAATATAACTAACTACAAAGAAGGTACTATAAATCGGCAGTGTTATAAGTTTATAATAATAATAATAATAATAATAATAATAATAATAATAATAGGCCTATAAGTTTAGAATAATAATAATAATCACTTACCAAGTGATCATAAAAGCATTTTGGGTTAAAGACTTATCTCATTAAGCACGCTCGAGCACTGGCCAAATATAATAACCTTCCGAAACAGTAGCCTAAGCGTGTTTAAATATCGACCTTTAGTAGTCAGCAAACGCATCTCATCAACAATAATTAAAATGGCTCTGGCCAGTAGAAAGAAAAGATAGATGCAATAATTTTCGTGTCAGTTCATGTGCTAGTGTTTAGACAGCAGTTTGGTGAATTTAGGTAATTACCAGTTCCGGTTATGTCAAAAAATTTAATATTGATAATCAAAGAATTGGACGAAACCATAGAGTATAGGTCAAATATAGGAACTTAGTATTTCTTAAAGTTTACTGAACAAGATTAAAAGTCTCCACATTTGACGTGAGATGTGATCCACCTGACGCCCTAATAATTGTTATAAAACTGACAAAAAGAGTTTTAAGAATTAGTGGACCTCAAAGGACGCTGAAACTCACAGGTGCAACCCACGGGAAAGACGTAGGGGTGACGGTAAAGAGATCGCAGCCCGGCACCTTGGTACCTACATCTTAAATCAAAGAGACGCTGCGCCCACTTCTTTAATCCCATGTAATCCGTATGAGCGTAATAAAAGTTCTTCAGAGCAGAGAAAATCAGCGTTATTTATTGACTAAACCGCAACGCGCCGTTGCAGACCACATAAGCCCATAGTGCAAGTTGGTGATAGGACAAGATACTTACATATGTATATTATACATGTATAGTATTAAATGGGCTTCGTTTACACAATCTACAACAATAATCCCCGAAGAAGGCCTAGGGGCCGAAAGCTTGGATTATATATGACATCTGTAAAGTAGATCTTCACAGATGCATCAGTAATAATACTTATTTTTTCCTTTAAGATCTATACGGTAAATTAACACCAATCTTCCCAATTTACAATAAAAACGTAGATAGGATGTTGGAGTAATTGCTTTGGCACCTTTTCGTAAATGGGGGGGGGGGGCGTTTTTTTTTTTTTTTTTTTTCAAATTAACGCTTTCAAGAGTAGAATTTCTTTTTAAGTCATTTCGTTTGATCCTGGCATTATAGCATTATAAACATGTAACAATCGTAGCTCAACTAGAAATTTGATAACATTGAAACAATTAGGCCTATACGTCGAATAGAAAATACGGTATACATGAGTAATGCATACCTTAAATATAGTGGATTCTACTTCAATTTGCCATCTGTTTAAAAACACCTTCATCTTGTAGTGTCTTATCTCCAAACAAAGGTATGCATAAAGGTAAAATAATTCTGGCAACTTTTCACATCGACATGCATACTGATAGGAAAACGTGAGACAAAAAGACGGCAAATGATAACATATTCCGTTAGAAAGTGTTTGCTTCATCTAAATGTAAGAAATATACGATAGAAACACATTTTAAAGCTTAACAACAAAGCTTAACAACATTCAGCATTAGCAATGCAAAAAAGAAAGTATTCAATGGGATTTTATAAGATAACATTTTTTTTTATCAAATTGGCTGCCAAATTTCCGAATTAAGAAAATAATATGCCCCTTGCAATCTTCCTAATGGAGCCAAAATCCAACTGTCAACTGCTAATCTCATTGCTTTGTCATGTGGGGTTAAAGGTTAACGATTTTTAAAATGTTAGACTGTTATTGTAGACGATTTTCACAAACTATAGAAATCGAAGTCTATCTAACCAACATGGATAACCAGTGCACTGTATACCAGAGAGAGGGGTACAGCTGGCGTATGCAGTGAAACTGGAATTAAATCAGAGTTTAAAAAAAAAAAAAAGAAAAATGGAAGAACTAAACCCCATTAAAAGCAGACCTTAACAAATTGGCACTGTCCGCACTGTTAACGCCACTTAAGGTTACTGCGTTTTATTTCCTCGTCCTTCGTTGTCCAAGCGTCCAGTTTAAGGAAGGACGTGGCCAATTTATGGAGAAACCCCCAATTATCAGCGGAAGGATGGTGATAATATGACAATTTACAGGGACATCTAACTCGCGGGCGCGCATACGATGTTCGGTCCTTGCCACCTCGTGTTACGTACTTCAAATCTTCTTGTTCATCTATTTCCTCCTTCACTCAGTCAGGTTTTTTTTCTTGCACGGTTTGATCATAAGCTGTGACGATGCTAAGTTAACGTTATGGTGCATTCAAATAATTTACCTTGAACAGCATGGCATATGCTTTTCGGATTTTGTGATAATGATGGAATAATTTTTTTGGTGGCATCCTGGAGGGTTCAAGCAATACCTATCTATCGATCTATAATAACATGTCCAAAACAACGGTTTTAAGGATGCAATTTTCCTGTGTATAAACATTAAAATAAAATTAAAAGATTTGGCATTTTCTAGGTAAATCACTTTGCATTATGCTGCAATGGTTTTTAAGCGCAACCTTTCTGCAGATAAACATGAAATAAAGATAAAAATTTAAAGATTCGAAAATTCCAAGTCAAATCCATCCTTGCATTATACTGCAAATAATTATTTACCCTTTTTTGTAACTGAACGTCCACAACAATAACAATACGGAACGTAAAAAACGGAAATGTTTTTTCTCTATCCGGGCATCCCATATGCGCGAAGAAGCGGTCAGGCGAGTGAAATGACCTCCCGTGTCCTAATCGAGGACAGCAGGTGTCAGGAAAACCATTATAATCTATATATATGTCGGATACGCATCGTAATGGGCGGTATTTGGTCATAGGAACTCGGCATTGTGTAAATGAAATATCTACATCTACTTCCTTATAGGTGAAATTGCAATAAACAAATAAGAGGCAGAGATGCTATACAATGATAAATCCAATATAACTGACGTGCTAGTCATAAATCATAGATTGTTGAAAATTTATAGCATAACAAATAGTTGCAGTGTCTATAAACTACGTAATGAATTTTCTTTTTAATTTAAATCAATTCATTCTGTCTTGGTCAGACTTCTCCAGCCTCCATTGTACATTTCCCTCAAAGCTAAATTTCCATGAAAATAATAAATAAATGAAGATAAAAATGTTTTCAAAAAATAAATAGATAGATGTGTGAAAAATTAAGATATCAAAAAATCATCCAAGACTCAGGACAGAAAAAGCCTGTGCATGCGTTACATCTCTTTAATCTTCTGTTGATTTCACTATATTTCAGAAACGTGTTGCATTTTATTGGTTATGAGCGAAGAGAAGAGTTCCCTGGCCTGACATTGCTCTTTCTAATACCTACAATTCGTACACGGGCAATGCCTTTAAAAAATGCACAAATGATCCAGCCTTCAGCAGATCAAATGATTTGTATGATCCTTACTTCCCTGTTGAAAACACAACCATAGGCCTAGTTGTTATTTAGATTGGCCACAAACCACGCAGTTGGTAGAATTCTGTCCCTTGGAGGTAGTCGTCGACTCGAAGTCACCGAGACTACTATGGGAGTGTGCGGTTTGACACCTTTTTCTGACAACAGTTAATTGTAATAAACGCTCGCTTGGTTGTCAACTAATAAATCTCAAAACCACATAAATGACATTTTTAATATGCAAATTTATAATAACACACAAGAATACCATTAAAAAACAGCAAAATACCACATTTGCACATTCAATTGTACACGTACCAGTAGAGTGAGCATGCAGCACCGGTACTTATTTACATTTTCCTTTTTTGTCATCTTTTTTATATTGTCTACATCGGTGCCTTCCCGTTTATGAAAATAAAATGGAAATAACCAGATAATTATATACGCTGAGCAAAAATTTAAACGCCCCATGTGAATTATTTTTGTAGCAATTAGTTTTATAACAAGCGACTCCAAATGAGCTGATGACTCATTGATGTTGTCTCATAATTTTAATTTTAATCTGCAGCACACTTTCATATAATATCTTCACATCTGGAAAGATAAGACAGTCGACATGGATGTAGCAAACATTACACCATTATACCATTCAAAGTTTACACGGTGCGATCAGACAATCTCTATCATCGAAATTCTCTGAAATGATATCATCTTGCGGTAACGTATCTAGGCCCGTAAACAGCAATATTTCGAAGGGGGGGGGATATTTTTTCCGAAAAAATAGACTTATACCATGTAAAACCTTCGTGTACCTAGACCAAATTTTACCCAGAGTGGACCTTTTCCGATCAAAAAAATGCGGTTCGTTCGACCTCCCCCCCCTCTCTCCCCCTCCGTATCACAAAGTAACAACTAACTAGTCACTGAAAACGATTCTATCTCGTTCACCACAATTTATCTGAAGACTGCGACACCTTAATTCACTGTCAACACCTCAGTCGCCACACCTAAACGGCTCGTCGCTCACGGACAATGTACAAAGGGGAACTACTGCCCAAAGCATTATGTGCCTCGTACGTCCCATTGCACAACAACGCGGAAAGGAAATATTTTCTGACCAATAACAGAGAAGCCAGAATTGTTTTCAGGATATTCAGATGTGTTTAAAAGCAGCGAATTTCGCATAGGGCTGTATCGTTTCTGAAAAAGTTACAACCATAAGGTCTGTGAGGAGTCTTTTCACTCGAGGTCAGTCTTAGGTAAGAACATGAATTTATACACTTTCAGCTGAAACGTTTTCGTCACGGAAACTTTAATTTAATGTGGTGTTATTTCTCAGTTATTTCAATTATTTTAGGTTTGGTCTGCTCAACAATGCAATTTTTTGAGGGTTCATTTAGATGAAAAGGAACACTCGTTACATTATATGTGGTATAAAACGCAAATATCACTAAGCTTTATACTCGCTGTTAATGTGAAAATGGTGCATATACATCTGTATTCAAACTGCACATTTCAAAGTGCATCGTTTCGTAGGTAATCAGTATTTTTAACAAAGCTTAAATTCTCTAATAAATCAAATTACGAACTTATTTTCAGGATTGTTTGTTAAACCTAGCTCGTCATCTATCAGCATGTCTACAGAAAAAGTCGCCACCGTCGATTCTTTCCAAGTCGGACTTCCACCGGTAAGTTTTTTAAAGCTTCCGCCAGTTAAGTTTCACGTTTAAAATATAACTTTAACCGACAAGAGGTGCCGGTTCACAACTACACCATTAAGAGTATCGTTTTGCCGGACATATGTTCATTCCATTCTGTATTTTACACCATTATTTATTTACTTATTTTGAAAATATCTTTAAACTTATTTTGAAAATATCTTTAAGGCTGGCACATCTATATGCCAACGAATCTTGAGAATACTACGGTAAAATGAGGAATTATAAGGCATTTTGTGTGGCTTCTATTTATTATGGGTTATTGCAACCAAACCAGTCGAAGTTACCTTATTCAAAAATAAATTTAAAATGCTATGCTGATCATCATTAGAGTTGCTTTAAATCTATATATCTCTGTCCAATTTCAAACTTTTCTTAACAAAATGCGCTCTCGGGTAGTCATGAGTTTCATTGACCGCAAGTAGTAATACAATTTTAATTTCCAGGCTTATAGACCAGCTGAGGTCAAAGGTCAATCCAAGACGGGCTGGAAGGTGTCCGTTGCTGTCTTAGCTGTGGCTGTTGTTGTCTTGGTGATCACTGGAGGATTTTACATAGGTTATCTGCAAAACGAACTAGCGGTAAGCTTTTTAAAACTAGCATTCTAGAGTTATTTAAGAGTGATCAGTAGCTTATGTCGTTAGATAATTCAAAAATATACATAGCATATTTAGTTATTTTGAGAAGAGGTTACTATCACAATTCCCACAATATGGTACTGAGGGAACACAAGTACACGTATATCAGTGTGCATTAAACTGACATTCTCGATCCTTATTTATTTAACCATTTATCTATTTTAGCAACGAACCACGCTAGAGCAAGCAAAAGTAAGTACTTATTGCTTATAACGATAACATGTATCATATTTATTGAAAATTTTGTTTCTGTTACATCTATTCTTAGATGTTTAAAATTACAAGGCTTCAGCTTTAAATAATTAAACAAAACGGGAAATTTAAACAAGTAATTCCTATTTTACACTATACTTTTCTTTATCGTTCGCTTTTATTTTCTCTGCCAGACATTTGCCGTTCGTTTCCACGAGAAAGGCAATATCGTTCAAGAGAAGATTGCGGTGAACCTGCAGACACAAACTGAGACTTTCTTCGGCGTGAAACACAATGATGTTCCAAAATTTACTGCAGTCAACGATTTCAAGCAGGTGAGTATTTTTTAAAGAAACTAGAATATCAGATCTGTAATATTGACATTAAACATTGCGCGCAAAATGATGCTTCATCGCTCCCAGATAGAACGCCTTTTTATTTTCCTTAGCTCAATGTTTTCTTATCTCCAAAAAGGATCTGATCTGGGCAATTTAACAAATAAAAAATAAAAATTTTTACCTCAGACAATAAAATATAGATTACAACGGCGCGTTGAATCCCATCGATCGATTGTATGTGATGTCGTTTCATAATTTTGGAAAGACAATTCTGTTTTGAAATATCATATCATGTCAATCATTTATACTTAGTTAAGTGCTTGAGGTCACAAAATTTCTGTTTAACTAAAATCAATGTCAACTTTTATCTTAAGGGCATCACCGTTGTTCATGTACCTTCTGCCGGGGCCTGCTACGTCCGAGTGCTAGACACGACCTTCCCAAAGCCCCAGGATCTCAAGGACGAACTGGATGCCCACGCTGTGAGTAGACTGACTGTTAGCAGAGATCCCCTTTAATACCTTTGGTGGCATGTCAAAGATATTTATGTCTTAGTTCTAAGACTTTGGAGCTTAAAGAAATCAAAAGCTTACAGGGTCGCTTAGAATTATCGATGTTTGGCTACCTAATTTAAAAAGTGGCAGCTGGTGTCTTAGAAAACGACAACAGACGCAAGGTCAAAAAGAAAGGAACGCACGCAATCGTTCACGCGACTGAAGACGTGTTAGAGAAAAGTTGGCCTTAACGCATGTGTTGCTGCTGACATCAAGTCTCAAAAACATGACTTTTAAGTCATTAATTTATTGTTCACGTACGTAATGACACATAATGCTAGTGCTAGTGCTATTGGTAGTGATGAAACTAAAGTAAAAAGCAATAAATACATTTATAATAATGAAATTATAAATAACAAAGAGACTGAAATACAATAAATGTATACACAAATTAAATTAAAAAAGAGAGAGGCCGAGCAAAATACATGTTATTAACGACAACAATGTAAAATGACACCATAAATACATAGTTAAGTATCGTGAAGCTCTAGTTTTGTTATATACTTTCTGATAATAATACTCACATAATATTTGGCAACTTAAATTTAGCAGCAACTATGACGGCCACGATAAGACGGGATCGTCTAAAAGGATAATGTACATGTCATATTAACAGAATATCGTTATAAAAGATGACGTCTTTAACGAACTCGAAACATAACCCCTGACTTATTTACTCTGTTAAGATGACGATGATTTACTCATATCATCCATATCGATATAAATTAACAACTAAATGCAAATGTACAAAATGTTCTAGAAAGTTACTTTCTTACGTACGGAAGAGAACAACCTGACTGCGTCCAGCACTAGTATGCACTGGCTTATATAGCTGCTGCAACTAAAAACTACTCAAATATTCATAAACTGATGATAGCGACATTGCGTTAGTTGTGACTGCGTGAATACATTGTCGCAGTCAACAGCAGTCAACAGTCAACAGAGAGTGACAAAACATATTTCAAGAGCAAGACCGCTAAGTAAAGGACAAGTGTTGAAGTCACTTGTTAATTGTAAATTGTTGTGTAAAAACTAATTATCTAATACTTTGGTCGTCACTTAATGTTCAATTAAATGTGATTGATCATTGTTGTCCCAGATTTGGTCGCATTTTTTATACAGTTGAATTTCAGTTTCGCAATTTAAATTTATACTCATTAACATCTTATTGTATTATCGTTATAGAACGAAACTTGGGATGAGGTGCCACGCGAATACCACTATTTCAAGACAGTCAAGCCCGCCATTGGGGACGCTTCTTTCTTACCTGCTGAGATCAAGAGCCACTGCCAAGGTTTACCTATATATTGGACTGTACCTGTCAGCTCTCCAGGTGTCAACTCCAGTAAGTGACAGTTTAGTCTTATGAACCTGTCATCGTAGTAAAATACTCTGCAGATTGCTATTTCTTCCTCTCAATTTTAACTCTCGTGTTCTGTTCTTTTTTCAAATTTTATTACTTGGTTCAAGGTTAAAAATCGTTGATGCATATTTTCAGAAACAAGTCGTGAAATAATTTAACGTGATTTTTTTTTTCTTTTATAGGGCAGAGACGCGTAGCAGCAGAATTAACAGAAGCACAACGTAGTGTAGCTGTATGCGTTCGTGTATTTGGGAGACATATCTTCACAGTTAGTTTCTAAACATCGCGAGAGAGAATGGCTTTACGCTATTTTTGTGCACAATTTGTCTTGAAAAATGCAAAATATTTTTTAAATATTTTTAAATATTTTAAAAAATATCTTAAAATTCTCTACCGGGTCAAACTAATCTGTTGACGATATAGAATGCATGCTTGCATTTTAAAAAGTGCATTTTCATATGTTATGTTGTTAATGTTAGAACAATGTATGCTATAATCTGAGTGATAAATACATTAATTACAGCTCTATTTGTTAAAATATTTACAAGGTACAAAATAAATCCCAAAATGAACATTTGAGTCTTCATATTTTGTATCACTATGATGTTAAATGAAATGTCAAGATAACCATGTGGATTGTTTACATTTAATCATTCCTAATTATAGTTATCATGTTTAGTTGCGTGTTTAATATTGTAAACCAATGTCACATTCTTATATACAGTATTTATACCCACGTATACATTTTCACCGGTAAACAAGGTGCAATAAATATTCATTTAATGGTAGTCACTTTCTTTAGTATATTCTAATAGTCATCATCAAAGATTTAGTCGACTTCACGTTAGATCCATGATGTTCGGATATGCATCATAATGGGCGGTATTTGGTCATGGGAACTCGGCATTGTGTAAATGAAATATCTACATCTACTTCCTTATAGATGTTTTTGCAATAAACAAATTAGAGGCAGAGATGCTATATAATGATAAATCCAATACAACTGACATACTAGTCATAAATCATAGATTGTTGAAAATTTATAGCATAACAAATAGCTGTAGTGTCTATAAACTACGTAATGAATTTTCTTTTTAATTTAAATCAATTCATTCTGTTTTGATCAGACTTCTCCAGCCTCCATAGAATTATTTTCCCCCACAGCTAAATTTCATGAAAATAATAAATAAACGAAAAAAATAATAAAAAGATAAAAATATTTTCNTAAAAAAAAAAAAAAAAAAAAAAATAGATAGATAGATGTGTGAAAAATTAAGATATCAAGAAATCATCCAAGACTCAGGACAGAAAAAGTCTGTGCATGCGTTAGGGAGCTAGGTTAAAGTGAAGGCTTGTTTTAGGCTGTAAACTTCTAAAGGATAACAATTCAAGAAAAAATTATTGGCCAAACAACATGGTCTTTATTACTGTATATTTCATATCAATAGCCAATAACATAAATAATCATGGTCAATAATGCATGCATTTAATTTAAGAGATGCTTGCATTTTTTATGTTTTTATCATTTATACTGAAAGTTCCACTCTCTCCATATCTTCAATCTTCAGCAGATTTCACTATTCTTAGAAAATTATTGCATTTTATTAGTTATGTCGAAGGGGAGAGTTTTCTGGTTTGAGAAGGCCTGACATTGATCTTCATAATAGCTACAATAGCTACAATTCACGGGCAATGCATTTTAAAAATGCACAAATGACGCAACCTTTAGCAGATCAAATTATTTATATGATTCATAATGATAAAATTTTTAATTTTAAAAATAATTTCAAAAAACTCTTCGTGTTTCTACACCATATGCTGAAAGCGTACCTGAGAGCTTTCGTCCCAACACTTGGAACTTCATCAGTCACACTGTTGAAAACACAACCATAGGCTTATTTGTTTTTTAGATTCGCCACAAACCACACAGTTGGTAAAATTCTGTCTCTTTGACATAGTCGAAGTCACGGAGCCTACGGGAGTGTGCTGTTTGACACCTTTTTCTGACAACAGTTAACTGTAATAAATGCTCGCTTGGTTGTCAACTAATAAATCTCAAAACCGCATAAAATAACATAACATAATGTGCAAATTTATAATAACACACTAGAATACTATTAAAAACACCATATTTGCATATACGATTATAGGGTGTGCGTGCGGTACTGGTACCGGTACATATTTATATTTTCCTCTTTTTGTCCTCTTTTTATAGGGTCTACCTTGGAGCATTGGCGTTTATGACAATAACATGGAAATAACCAGATAACTATATACGCTGAGCAAAAAAAAAAAAAAAGTAACGCCCCACATGAATTACTTTTGTAACGAGCGACCCCAGATGATGTTGCCTCATAAATTTAATTTTTAATTTGAAGCACATGTACACTGAACAACAAAATCACTTTGCAGATTTCATATAATATTTTCACATATAGAAAGATGGGACAGTGGACATACACGGTCGGTGTTTACACGGGGCGGTCAGACAATCTCTATAATCGAATTTCTCTGAAATCATAACATCTTGCGGTAACGTATCTACGTATCCAGGCCCCTAACCAGCAATTTCAAAAAGGGGGGGGGGGTTAAGTGGACTTAAACCATCAAGCCTTCGTGTACCTAGACCAAATTTTATCCAGGGAAGACCTTTTCCTGGCAATAAGGGCGGTTTGTTCGAACCCAGCAAGATCCCCCCACCCCCACCCCCACCCCCCCCCCCATCCCTAGGCTACGGGCCTCGTATCGCAAAGTAACCTTATAAGTCACTGGATATGATTCTTTCTCGTTCATCATAATTATCTGAAGACGGCGACACCTTAATTCATTGTCAACACCTCAGTTGACACCTAAATGGCTCGTCACTCACGGACAATGCCAAAAAAAGGGAAATACTGCCCAAAGCATTATATGCCTGGTACGTAACATTGCACAACAACGCGGAAGAAAAAAACAACATTTTTTGACCAATAAGAGAGAAGCCAGAATTATTTCAAGGACATTTAGAGGTGTTTTAAACAGCGAATTTCGCATAGGGCTGTATCGTCAATGAAATTTTTACAACCAAAGGGTTGGTGAAGAGTCCCTTTACTTCGAAGCCAGTCTTAGGTAAGTACATGATTTTATACACTTTGAGCTGAAACGTTTTCGTCAGGAAAACTTTTATTTAATGTGGTGAATTTTATCAATTATTTCAATAATTCTAATGTTTTGTTTACTTAACAATGCATATTTTTTCGAGGGAATGTTTAGATGAATAGGCGCACTCGTTACATTATATGTGGTACGAAGCGCAAATATCACTAAGCTTTATATTCGCTATTAATTTGAAAATGATGTATATACAGCTGTATGCAAACTGCACACTTCAAAAAGCATCGTTTCGTAGGCAATCAGTATTTTTTTATCAAAGCTTAAATTCTCTAGTAAATCAAATTACAAACTTATTTTCAGGATTGTTGGTTAAACCTAGCTCGTCATCTATCAGCATGTCTACAGAAAAAGTCGCCACCGTCGATTCTTTCCAAGTCGGACTTCCGCCGGTAAGTTTTTTAAAGCTTCCTCCGGGAAAGTTTCACGTTATAACTGCAACCGAAAAGAGATGTCTTTTCACAACAGCATCATTAAGACTGCCGCTTTGCTGGACTAATGTTTGTCAAAAAAATTCCACTCCGTATTTTACACCATTATTTATTTATTCATTGTGAAAATACCTTTAAGCTTTATGCCAATATATCTTGAGAATACAACGGTAAAATTAGGAATTATAAGGTATTTTGCACGGCCTCTATTAATTATAGATTGGTACAAAACCAACCGAAGTAACCTTATTCAAAATTAAATATAAAAAACGTTGCTGATCATCATATAATAGTTGCTTTAAATCTATAAACCGTCTGCCTGTCCGAATTCAATCTTTTCTTAACCAAAATGCACTCTTGCGCAGTCGCGAGTTTTATCGACGACAAGTTATAATAAAATTTTAATTTCCAGGCTTACAGACCAACTGAGGTCAAAGGTCAATCCAAGACGGGCTGGAAGGTGTCCGATGCTGTCTTAGCTGGTGTCCGTTGCTGTCTTAGCTTAGCCGTTGTTGTCTTTGTGTTCACTGGGGGATTCTACATAGGATATCTGCAAAACGAACTGGCGGTAAGCTTTTTAACCAACATTCTTAGAAGCACTTCAAGAGTAATCAATAGCATGTCGTTAAATAATTAAAAAATATAAATAGCATATTTAGTTATTTTGAGAAGTGGTTACTATCACAATTACCACAATATGGTACTGAGTGAACACAAGTACATGTATATCAGTGTGTATTAAACTGACATTCTCGATCCTTATTTATTTATTTATTTATTTATTTATTTATTTATTTTAGCAACGAACCAAGCTAGAGCAAGCAAAAGTAAGTACTTACTGCTTCTAATGATAACATGCATCAAACTTATTGAATTTTTGTTTCTGTTACATCTATTTTTAGAGGTTTAAAATCATAAGGCTTAAATTGACATTTGAATAATTAAACAAAACGGGAAATTTAAACAAGTAATTCCTATTTTACGATATACTTTTCTTTATCGTCCGCTTTTATTTTTTCCGCCAGACCTTTGCCGTTCGTTTCCACGAGAAAGGCAATATCGTTCAAGAGAAGATTGCGGTGAACCTGCAGACACAAACTGAGACTTTCTTCGGCGTGAAACACAATGATGTTCCAAAATTTACTGCAGTCAACGATTTCAAGCAGGTGGGCATTTCTTAAAGAAACTAGAATATCACATTTGTAATATTATCAATATTGAAATTGAGCATGGCGCGCAAAATGATGCTTCATCGCTCTCTGATAGATCGCATTTTTATTTTCCTTAGATCGATGTTTTCTTTTCCCCGAAAGGTAATTTGACAAATCAAAAATAAATTTTTACCTCAAAACAACGGCGCATTGAATTCCATCGATCAATTGTATGTGATGTAGTTTCATTATTTTGGAAAGACAATTCTGTTTTGATATATCATATCATATCAATTATTTACACTTATCTAAGTGCTTGAGGTCATAAATTTCCTGTTTTTCTAAAATCAATGTCCACTTTTATCTTAAGGGCATCACCGTTGTTCACGTACCTTCTGCCGGGGCCTGCTACGTCCGGGTGCTAGATACAACCTTCCCAAAACCCCAGGATCTCAAGAACGAACTGGATGCCCACGCGGTGAGTAGGCGGACTGCTAGCAGAGATTTCCTTCAATACTTTGGCGGCAAATTAAAGAAATTTATGATTTGATTTTATCATTTCGGAGCTTAAAGTAATTGGAAGTTTACAGTGTTGCTTAGAATTATCGATGTTTGGCTACCTAATTTAAAAAGTGGCAGCTGGTGTCTTAGAAAACGACAACAGACTCAAGGTCAAAAAGAAAGGAACGCACGCAATCGTTCACGCGACTGAAGACGTGTTAGAGAAAAGTTGGCCTTAACGCATGTTTTGCTGCTGACATCAAGTCTCAAAAACATGACTTTTAAGTCATTACTTTATTGTTCAGCAAGTGGGTGCAATCGCACTAGCAAATAGCGCACGCTCGCCATGCTCGCGCACGTGCGCAAAATAGCGAAGCTTTTGAGATACGGGGCCCTGCTATCTCGAAGCCTTAGCAAACGCAACGCAATTATAACCTCAAACTCTACAAAAATTCGATTGCCGCATAAAGTGAAGACGTCATAACACAATTACACAAAATGTCATTTTTTTCACCATGACGCAAATCAAGAGGTTGTTTTTATTTATATGAATATCATAGTTACAAATACTGATATTTGAAGTGTTTTACACCAATTAAATGTCAAAAAACAATTCAATAAGCGAAGCTTGGACTGACACAATTACTGACACATTGGTGAGTAGTGTTCAGTCTCACAATAATAGACATTGAGGAAGGTCACGGTTCGACCGAATGCTTTGTTTCTGCTTTTTCATTTTGTGTAGAAAATGACACTTTTAAATTTATGATTATTATCAGTAGACTATACAATGATGTATGAAATGTGTAATTTTGAATTTTTTATGCATAATAAAACATGACTTTAGCATTCTTCACTTGAATATTTACCGCAAGTTTTTCTATCAGAGGTACCAGTGATTCAATCAATTGGGACTAGTTTGTATCGCCGCAAATAATAGCCTCGAAACTAATGGTGATTTCGACATTAGCGCACGGCCGGGATTTGCGAATCTTTCGAGATATGGGATAGGGCACGCTCGCCATGCTTGCGCACGTGCGCAACATAGCGAAGCTTTCGAGATATGGGATAGCGCACGCTCGCCATGCTAGCGCACGTGCGCAACATAGCTAAGCTTTCGGGATTTGGAGCCCTGATTGCGCCCAGTGCTAGTTTAATTGCGCCCAGTGCTAGATTGCGCCCGATTATATAGTTGCTGCAACTAAAAACTACTCAAATATTCATAAACTGATGATAGCGACAATGCGCTAGTTGCAACTGTGTGACTAAATTGTCGCAGTCAATAGAAGCATGTTGTAGGGCGTGACAAAATATATCCTCATAACGAAACTGTTAAGTAATGGACGAATGTTGACGCCACTTGGTAATTGTAAATTTTGTGTTAAAACCAACTATCCTTTGGTCGTTACTTAATTTTCAATTAAATGCCAGGCATCACTGCTGTCCCAGATTCGCATTTTCTATACAGTTAAATTTTACTTGCGCAATTCAAATTTACATTCATTAACATCTTATTGTATTATCGTTATAGAACGAAACTTGGGATGAGGTGCCACGCGAATACCACTATTTCAAGACAGTCAAGCCCGCCATTGGGGACGCTTCTTTCTTACCTGCTGAAATCAAGAGCCACTGCCAAGGTTTACCTGTATATTGGACTGTACCTGTCAGTTCTCCAGGTGTCAACTCCAGTAAGTGACATATTAGTCTTTATGGACCTGTCATCGTATTAAAATACTCTACAGATTGCTATTTCTTCCTCTCAATTTTAACTCTCGTGTTCTGTTCTTTTTCAAATTTTATTAGTTGGTTCAAGGTTAAAAAATCGTTGATGCATATTTTCGGAAATCAGTAGTGAAATAATTTAACGTTCTTTTCTTTTATAGGGCAGAGACGCAGAGCAGCACGTAGACGAAGAAGTGTATCTCTAAGCTTGCGTTTATTTGGGAGAAATATCATCACAGTTACAATTAGTGTCGAAACATCGTGAGCGAGAATGACTTTATGCTATTTTTTGTGCGCAATTTGTCTTGAAAAAATATAAAATATCTTTGAAATATTTAAAATATCTTAAAATTCTCTACCACGTAAAACAGATCTGTTGACGCTATAAAATGCATGCTTGCATTTTAAAAAGTGCATTTTCATTGGTTATATTACGTTCTCAATGACAGTACAGTGTATGCGATAATCTAAGTGATAAAAACATTTACAGCTCCACTTGTTAGAATATTGTCATGGTACCAAATAAATCTTCAAATTACCATTTGAGTTCGTCTTTTGAATCACTATGATCTTAAATGAAATGTCAAGATAGTGTTATGTATATAGTTAATCATTCCTAATTACAGTTACCATGTTTAGTTGCGTGTTTAATATTTAATATTGTGATCCAATCTCACATTCTTATGTATTTATACCCATATATACATTTTCACCGGTACATAAGATGCAATAAATATGCATTTAATGGTAGTCATGTTCCATATTATTATATTTTAATAGTCATCATCACAGATTTAGTCGTTTAATACGGCGATTTCGCGATAGACCCATTACAGTGTTATCACACACAAAAAAAGGGCCGTTTCATTAAAAATCAGTTTATTCAAAATGCACAGTATAAGCGGTATGTACAAATATAGAGACAATAAAATGAGCTTTTCTTTCATCTTCCGTAAAACGAGAATATCTACGTGCTATAGATGATGAAGCAATACATATTATATATATATAAATTCATATGATGAAATAAAAATACAACTCTACAAGTAGTACGAAGTTGTGCAAATGTGTATAAATATATCTTCTAAATATTGATATCGCATAGCGCGCAGCATTTTTCAGTCCAGGTAATTTCAGGCCAGGTAATTTCAATGGAAAAATTTCATCTCAAGAGCATGGAGGACAGGTCTTTAGCAGCGAGAAATCTGTGGGCTCACCTGCCTTTTACACCATACAAAGAAACATTTTGATAACAGGTTTTAATTTCTGCTGAACTCTTTTTCAAACCTCAGTAAAAGTTTGGAACTTCATTCCATTGAAATACATTTGCAATTAAATTTGTATCATTCTTCAAACATAGTTTACCGTTTTAACAATACAAGTTGGTGAAATCTAGTGCTACATTGTAACCCACGGTCCTAACTACAGAAAAAAATCACTACAAAAAATTGCACTTTGCAAAGCAGCTACCTACAAAGATTACACATTTCGTCTTCTGATATATTATCTGTACCATTGTTCTTTCTAACTTTATAATTATCTTTATTTTTATTCAAACAAAGGATCATTTACATGCAATCCAAAAACAGCTCTTCGCGCCTTTCAGGTAAAACGGAATCTATAAATGTGTCCCTTCTTCCGCAAACATACAATAATGAAATTAAAGACAATACTTTACTTGCTTCTTGATCTACAGCACTTTACTTCATAAGTAAAAAGTGATACGAAGACCTCCAACAATCTATCTATCACTACGTGAGTTTCTACAACTTTCAGCACAAACGCACATCAAATTACACAAATGAAACTCTTTCTCCATAACCGATACAAGGACAAGAGGCTTCTTGTACTTTTTTTTCAGAGACACATGTACAGAAACTTCCTCAAATAATACTTTATACATAATCAACTTTGCGATACAGATATGTTGACATTCACAATGGCAAATAAAAACAAGTGACAGGGCGTGGATTTTCCTCTAAAGTGATGAAAAACAATTAATACGAACTCGGTGTAAAGGGTAATCTCTAGACTAAACATGACAATTACTAACACTATATATTACATACCGTGATAATATTTCCAAGTATTATAGAAACTATTTTATAAAATTATAATGCATGAGATCAAGGCCCTTTTTATATATATAAACCTTTTGGAATGATCTGTTAGATATATTTGTTTCACTACCCCAAGCAGATCTTACAATCTGCTTTGCTAAGATGGAACATCTATTCAAGATTAGCAAGACTTCTACATGAAAAATTTGGTTGTGATGCTAGTTATGAGTTTTTGTTTGATTGGTTGATTTTTAACCAATCACCAATGAATGAGATTATTAACATTTAAGCTTCAGTGCAATGCATCATAGATAGTGTGCCAATCTTTAACAATGATCATACATATTCAACCACATGGATGTTTTTATACACTCAATAATCTTAATATAAACATAGAAATGATGTTGTTGACACAGAGATAAACATTTCTTACAACTGTGACGATTCAGGTAAAAATATACCTATCACAACTAAATATATGATGAAAAATAAAATTCTTTCTGAACATGTACATTGTAGTGAAGCAATTCATTCAGTTATTTAAGAGACTGTGACTGCATTTGTTGTGGCAATTGTGTGACACAATAATAGTGCTTGTTGTGAATAATGTTAGCATTGCATAAGTTGTGACATTTGTTGGTATTAACACATTTTATAAGTTGTGGTAATGTCATCGGTGTTGAAAGCAATGCCTGTTTCGACTGAATTATTAAAAAGGAGAATGCTGTATAAAAAGTTTTCAATAATGTTTAGTAAAAAAAAAAAGCACAAGGAAAGATTCACCATTGTACACTCTAACTAAAATGGGTAGCAACTACAAAAACTGCCAAAATGCACCAATAGAATGGCAGACAAGGATGGCTTGGCATATTATAATGAAAAGCATCTGCACTGCATATCTACAGCTGTAGTATGTTGAATGTTTTCAATCCTCTTTCCAGCTAAGAATTTACAAATAGACAAGACAAATGGAAATTGTCGATTACTGTGGGGAAAATGTGATGGAGAAGTCTCATCAACTTCTCAGCTGCAGACTTAGTAATGTCAAATGAAACTAAATTCACTTAACAGTCTGAATAAATTCCTAGAAATGTGCACACACTGTAAAATGGAGCAAGTGGAGAACAAACCAAGTGGCACGTGTACCTCACACAATTTTTCTGTGGGCATGCTCTCCATGCTCATCTTAAAACTGCAACATCCGAGTTCTGTTGAGTTCAACCTAGGCTTATCTAATTAGTAGATGGGATCTCAGCTGCTGTATCTTCTAATCTTGTGTTTTTGCTTAAGTTCAGTTTTCCATTTAATCGTCTTCCTCGCTCTGTCCTGCTCCATACATTTCTGCAAGCTTAGCAAACCTTGGTCCCCAATCGTTTAAGTAGTCAAAATTTTGGTCTTCACTTGAAGAGCTGGAATTCAGCGAGCTCAGTGATCCTGCTGTGCTTCCGCCACCCTCATAGTCATATTCCCGTAAACTGTCCAATGGCGGACCATCTGGGTCCTCATCTGCATCATTCAGGCGTTGGTGGATAAAGTCACCAACATCAGGTGGGTCCCCTGGGGCTGTAATATATCAATTGTTAATCGTAATTGATTCTCTCTTCACTACGTATAGTTTATCGGTAGTAGTTTGTCTAACATAGAACAAGACAAATCCGGAGAACAATAAACAGCAAACATGGAGACATGAGTAGAAAACATTCTACAGCTCATGAAATATGCCAATCATTTATATAAGACATTATTACTCATGGCAAACTTCTGATGAACTGAAGCATTATAAAACTTGATGAAAAAGAAAGAGACCTAAACGGCCTGTGTTCTTATTTACCTTGGCCTAGACCTTTTGTCCTGTCACGTGGAATATCTTCATTAAGTGGAGACTTCATCATGCTAGGTGTACCGTTCATGGGTTTACTTAAACGACTGATATCATATGCATCCTGGTCTTCCTCACCTAGAACAAATGAATAAAATGAGTTCTTAAGTTCAACTATACTACCATTACTCATCAGAATGTGTCATATCACGTTTATGTAAGTGATTAAATATCAGTGTCGTGCTTATTGCTATACATCCACTCTTACAAGTGAGAACTCATTCAGACAATTGAAACAACACTTTTTCTTTCAAACTTTGAAACAATGTTCTGATTTTCATTTAAATAGCCTGATTTAATTGGCAGCGGTAGCGTGCTGTTTGAATGAAGTGAACAGTAGCCACAATAAATATCAAAATTAAACAAGGGTGCCACTTTTACCTTTCAGGACAAATAAATTTAAAAGTAGCAAGTAATTCTGAAAACAATTTCAAACAGTGAATATAAACAGTTTGGGTATGTCAGACGTACCAGCTCCATCTTCGTCATAGTTGACTACATTTTCCCTCATGTCATCATCAACATCAATGTCAATCAGATATTTCTCCGCACCAGTTCTGCGGCGCTGGTAGAGCACAGCTCCAATAAGAAGTCCTGAAAGAGAAATAAGATTTTTCTTTTAATAACTGCACCTTTCTAACAATTTCACATATCCAATTTACATGTTTGCAAATAACATATGTCATTTAATTTTTTTTCTCTTTGATCCTATTAAACAATTTTAACATCTTTCTAAACAAATGTGAATTAATGACACATTAATGTTTTGTCAAGTTGATGAATTCAAGTTGATGAATTTCTTCACCTAACAGCAGACATAAAGTAAATATAAACCCAAAACTACCAGTATTTATTCACCATACACTAAGAGACACATAAAACATAAGAGAAAACAGTCTTTCTTACCTATGATAAGAAGAATCACAATAGCAATGACCACCCATACTGCAGGGGCCACGGCAGCTGCTCCTGTGAAACCCAAAAACAATTGGCAGTTGTCACCAGAATAACCTGCCGGGCAATCGCACCTGTAGCTGAATTCGAGGTTGACGCATTTCCCATTATTCTGACACACTGGAGGAGTGAGGAGGCATTCGTTGATGTCCACACAGACGGCCAGAGTTGCATCATATCTGGCTCCAGTTGGACATCTGAAATGGAAAAAAAAATTGTATAATTCAGAGCACAGAATGTTTAATTTGCACACTTGCAGGCTCTCTCTCTCTTTCTGTGGCCTGTTCTTTCAGAATGTTGGCTGCCATGGTTCTGTCTTTGGTACTACAGTGTATAAATTAGGCAAGTAATAGTTAAAGATGCAATTGAAGCGAGCTGACAAGAAAAATGTTTGCCACTAAACCTACCCAATATAGTTTGAGTTACCATAACTTTAAGAAAATACCAAAGGGTATAGTTTCATTTTTCCTGAAAATTGATATTGACAATAAACAGATATTTTTTGCTATCTTTCTGTCATATATGACACCCTTAGTTGTTTTCACCAAACCTCATTTAAATAATTATGTTATTGTGTGCCTGCAATGCATCATACATTACAAAGTCAATAGTTGGACTTTAACAAACTGAAGGGACAGAAAATGAGGTCAATTTTATGACAAAAAAATTTGGAGAAAGTGCAGCTTTAAAGCTGTTTTTTTGGCTCACCAAGTGATTGATTGGGTTTATCCTCTGACAACTGGGTTTTCTTTGAGTTGGTGGTAGTGATTTACATGCAACACAGGGAATTTATGCTCGCTTCATATGGAACTTTAAAACATGGAATATCTGTCCCCTTTACCTGCACTCGGCGTGTCTCCATAGGTCAACACATATCAAGCCAGTATCAGGAGGGCACACGAAGCCCGCACATGCATCAGATGGGCAACCCTCGACAACATTTTCAGAGCGATCTACCTCGGCTATTGTGCTTTGAGATTCTTCGGATTCCATCATGGGGAGCCACTCGCCAAAGAGTCTCACATCCTGCATACAGGCTGAAGATGTAAAATTGGTGTCTTTATATGCAAGACTTGCATCATATATGCACAGGTCAGTTGTATAATACTTTCACATGAACATACGTATGTGTAATATGCTGCACAAATTCTTTCGCTAGATTTTCTGCAACTGTTCCAATGTTCCAACTGTTGGCCATGCACTTTACTTTCATATTACCAAACTGAATAATTTAAAGCAATCATATTTTTTGGCATTTTGATTATTGTTCAACAAACACAAACCTTTTGACCACTACACAGGCAATGAAAATCTTGGGTAATGGGGGGTTACATTGGCTACTTTGCAGTCATCACTTACTGTTTGACAAATCCTGATCAGGTACTATCCGATTGGACGACCCGTCAATGCCATTAAGCTCAGCCCCTGCGTAAACTCTCCTTTGGTTTATTCTCATGAGGCGGTGGGCGACGGCAGCTCCAAGGTTTTCGGCATAGTATTTCCCTTCTCCTTGATCCATGGTCAAGATGACGTGCTTGCCGAATCGTTTCACGTTTACAACGTGCCATTCGCCATCAGAAGCATTGACATAGTCCAGGGACACGCTTTGCTCAATGTAGCCAAGGTTGTAGACGAATTGAAGTCTCATGTCTTGGATCTGAAGTAAGTGTTGAGTCACAGTCAGAGATCAGTTTTTAAAATGGAAGAAAAAATAATGATGAAAAAAGATTCAGATGAGAACTAGACACACTCAGAGGACTCAAAAATATTACAAAAATCTTACTGACTAGCTGATAAAGGATGAAATAGTTACAGTAATAACTTACATTAATACATAACCTGCTTCTTGTTATCACAACGATTCAACTGTTCCAAAAGGCCTATCCCAACATGTATCAGTAAAAAATCCTCACAGTAAGTGACCTACGCTTACCTGTAATCTCATGTACTCCCTTCCTGCACTATTGGTGGCCGTAAAGACGCGGCCATGTGTGTCGCGTGTTCGATACATCAGCTGAATCTCCACATTACGCTGGTATGCCATACTGTCCAATGTGGACTGATAGTTCGCTTTCATGACCCACATCAGATAACTGTCTTCTTGGAAATCCACAACAGTGGTGGCTGGATACATACAAGAAAATAAGATTCAGATTGGGAGGCAAAATGTATACAAATCTCTTAATCTAAAGTGAACAAGTGGATGAATGGGGGACGGGGAATTTAAGTCATCAACTGTTTTAATTCCAGGAAAAGTAGGGGAGGAACAGCAAAACTTGCAATATTTTAATGGTCTCTCTGGAAAGCTAAGTGGACATTGTGACCTACTGAAATTTGGATGAAGAAAATATACCTTGTCAACCTGAAGATATTAAGATTATTAAAGTGTTTAAAAACTACTGATCCGTTGTACACACACACTAAATAAATAAATAAATAAATAAATAAATAATTGCACCCACTTCATAAAAGTAACTCAAGATATAAAAATCTCAACATATTCTATTATGTGTGTACTAACCTGTGGAACACTGAAGACCTCGCCAGCCAGGGTTACAAATACACTTGTACGTTCTCTCACTAAGGCTGGTCACAACACAGGTGCCATTTGCCCCACATTTGGGTCCAGCTTGCTCTCCGGCAAGTTTGATGTTGTTAGCATCAGTTTTGACACCTTCGCAGATCGCATCCTCTCGCGGGCATCCATCTGCGGAGTTCTCGTGCATGCCCGTGTCCCCAATGTGTAGATCATACAGCTGGAGTTTGGAGAAACAAAAATTGAATGAAAAATATTATTAGGATAGGTGGTGTCCTGCGATATATGACACTGCCATCAATTTAGTGGGTGTTAAACAATACAACTTAAATTTGTGACAAAATTACTTGAATACAATAAATAACACCTACTTTCTAACTTGGTCTTGTGTATTGCAAACTGTATACTTAAAAGTTTGAAAAAAAAGGTTTAGATATTGCGTTACCTAGGTATAACTGTAAGTAGACTAAACAGTAACAGACATAAGGTTAACAGTGCCACTGTCATACCAACACAATTTTCAAGCATTTTCAAATCATTTTTAATTGATTTTCTCTGCTTCTTAACATATTATTCAGAAGGCAGCAGACATCTTACCTCTCCATTATGAATCAAATTCTTCACACACCCATCAAATCCTCCACTGGTGACCTCTGCTGGGAAATTTGGATTTTGGCGTCCTCCTAACTGCAGAGGTAGGTTGACGTTGATAAACTTATTCTCACCAGGGGTCTCTCCCTCTGCTGCACACAGTCGCGTGTCCTCCGTTGAAGTATTTCCATCATTTTCAATGACCTGGGCATTCTCACAGTTGTCAACCACAACTCTAACTCTCTAAAATATGAACCAGTAGAAATGTGATTATTTCCTGAAGTTAACAGATGTATCTGTGCATGTATCAATTTAAGTTTTTAAACAATATAAATGATTTCAAGCATTAGCCATCCTACCAACTGTAAAACCTTTATGACATAATACTGTGCAAACAGCCCATTTTATCAACTAAAGATAAGAGCAACTGACCACTGCTTAAATTCATATATTTATCCACTTGACTATATTATTCAAGTCAAGTGTTAAAAGTATATCTTGACTCTACTATGATATTTACATATGATATATTTTATCATGGAAACTTTCATAGAAAATGCATCATTTATAGTATCTCATTATTAAGTTAAGAGGAAAATGAAAAAAATTCTTATAATAAAAAAAAATAATAAAATAAAAATAAATACATAAATAAATAAAAAGCTGCCGAATAAAACACTACACACCCTTCCAGTTCTGTAGACGGCAATCTCGTGCCATTTTCCATCATTCAATGGCTGCATGCCGTCTGCCGCACTGAACTGCAGGGACAGGACTCCAGTACCGTGGTCCACTTTCACTCTGGGAAACCCTCGTACAAGTTCAATGGAGATGAAATCAGTGACAGCATCTACACCCGTCTGCTGCGTAAAAGGACCATTGTAGAGAATCAAACCATCTGCTTTCTCTGTGAGGAACTCGATGCTAGTTTTGCTGTCCTCACACTGAGACAAAGAAGGGTACCAAGCCCAGCCATTGCCAGAGAAGCTGTGACGCCTCTGCTGGCAACGCGGACCATCAAAACCAGCAGGACAGCGACAGGTGTACCCAGATCCTGACAGATTTGGAAGACAAGTGCCGCCATTTTTACAACTGTCTCCACTACACTGTGTATTCCCATCTGTAAACTCTCGCGCTTTGCATGTGCACTCTGCTTTGATGTAGGCACGCACTCCCACCAGAGAAGTAGTGTTTGTGTTCACCACCAGAGGGATGTTTTCCACGACAAGCTCATTGGTACATCCTCCACTCTCACAAGTCTCCTGAAGACATTCATCCACTGGAACCATTCCTACAGTAATACCAACTGTGCTCTCAAACTGAAAATGAAAAACATGGTCCTTGAAATGACTGTCTTTAGAAATATCTAATTCTGGGCTTTAATATATGTACTTATGCAAAATAATAATAATAATAATAATAATAATAATAATAATAATAATAATAATAATAATAATAAGTAAATAAGTTAAAAATCATGTTGACTTTACTTACATAGATTTTAACATTTTAGCATAACAACACACCTAAATCGAATAAATGGCTTGAAAACATAATTTTTCCACAACTTAATTTCTCTAAAAATGTCTGCAGTTCAAAAACCAGTATAATTTTAAATTTAAAGAACAAATAGCATATAACCATGCTCAAATGATAAAAAACCTTACCTCTGCTTGGTTTAACAGAACCACACCATTTGTTTTGGTAGCGTTGTACCATGGGGAGCCATGAGCAGCATAGCGCACATCTATGGTATTTTGAGCACTGTTGTTGACGGTAAAAATTTCAACAAACTCGGTTTTGGTGCCAAGTTTTGTGGCCAGCAATTCACGGAACTTGTCATATTTGCTCTTTCCACCTTTGGGCCTCTCGATAAATTGTTCTGCAGTGATGCCTGAACAGAAATGCGATAGGTGAATTTTGATTTAATTAAAAAATATATCATCAAAAAGTATATCCTTAAACCTGAGAAATTATAAAAACAGATAAACCAGACAACATCCTGTGAGTGAATTTATCTCTGTAATAACCAGGGTCAGGTGATAAATCAAACATACCATTACATAGGACAGTAGTTACTAAGTAAATTATTATGTACAATAATGTCACTTGGGTAAATGGATATAAAAAAAAACAAAATGATCAATGATTTATTTGACTATGATTATTGTACAATTCAATTAAGCCTTTTTAAGTAATACCTGTCAATCTTATGGAGCCAGAGCTGTACACGGCTTCTTTTCCAATGTATTTTATGTTAACCACTACCACGGCAATGGCTTCCACATTTCGGACATTATCAGTGACCTTGACCTCCAGATTATAGTTTCCTTCAGGTGCCCCCTTCAGCATTATCACATCGCCAGTGTCCTGGTCCAAGCTAGAGAATAACAGGTTTAAGTTTTAATTAGAGGTTAAATGTCATGGTCAGTACATATTCCATGTGACATTTCTCTGCCTAAGCCCATAGTGGATATAATTTACACAGCATTTGCGAGGGAGATGACAATATTTGAACTTATTACAAATAAATGGTTACAATTATATCTCAGATTAATTTCTTTTAGCAAGTATTCAGTCTTGGGTTAACTTCTCTTTACGTGAAAAATGACTGTTCAGTACTCACCTGAAATGTTGAGGCTGGCTTCCAACCCAAGTAAATGTCTTGTCCACTCTATCCCAGTCATCGGGGTCTTCAGCATACGCATTCCCTATCACTGTGCTGCTAAACTGACCTTTAAACACAGAAGAACAAGACAGTCAGAGGGACATCCCAACCAAAAGTAAAGGATCATCCTATGGTATTTTCCCCAAAAATATGTGAATTATATTGGTTACAGTGCAGCGACAATCTCTGGTACTGTTTGCAATGTATACAAAGATAATCATTACTCATTATAAAAACTGTACAATATAATAATTCTGTTGTTTTTGGTGAAAAAACACAATCTAACATATTTAAATACATACTGATGGTCAACAAAAACACACTTCCATTAATGTTATCAAACACAAAAAAGTAATAAAAGTAGGTGCTAAAATCAAATAACACACTATTTGACTTGTTATATTATTAAAGATTATCATTCTTTATGAGAAAAAATCCACCTGCTATTCAAATGAAACAAGAATTCTGTTGTGCTTTAACAAATTCCGTACCAAGCAACATAAAAACAATTTCACACAGTCAATCCCATTTCAGATAAGTACAAAACATTTAGTTAAAAAAAATGCAACAAATAAATAAAAGATACAGAAGGTAACTACTTTTAAATAATTGCAAAAACCAAATTATCCCAACACTCAAACCAACCCACATTTATTTAATGGTAAAAATTGACACAACTTTAAATCACACACCAAATCCCTTTGAATGAAAATAATATACTAATTAAATATCTAACAATACTATACTTCACATAATCATAACATATCTACATGTCTAGCACTATAAAATGGTGCAAGGGATAATTGCATGCTGTTAGTTCAAGTATTAGACAAACAATGATATATATAATACTTACTATCTGGGTCATTCCAACCTGAAAAGATTTAAAAGTGAGGGGTAAAGTTAGCATAGGGCAAGTGTATTTTTTAAATTTATTTTACTACAGGGTAAATCTAAACTAACTAAGATGTATATACATGGGCGTATATATAGTTTTGCAATTGATATATGAAGAGTATAATAAGCTTATGACATGTCACATGCAACAGCTGAAGCCAAGTTCTACTAAATCTAATAAATTGGTACTGTAGGGCTCTTAAATCATATTATATAATATTCATTTGGCTTAAATATTCTGCACTGATGAGAAGGTTTTGCTACAGTTTTATGAGGAGGCACAGGATGCAGAAGAAATGTTCATCATCTTTATTATACTTTATACGATTGGTCATTGTGAAAAGCTTGAAATTTTCTAACATGCAACTAAAATGATATATATATTTCTTCAGTGGCTAGATATATAGATATATAAGTCATGCATGCAGAGAATGTCATACATGACTGTCATCACATGCAAATCATACAGCGTCATTACATTTTAAAATCGGCCTTTTAGAATTTTTTTTCTATCAGTGTCATATGGTTTTTCTTCTTGCCTAATATTGGCCACTATGCACCATGAAGCAAAAACTATTCAACATGCTGTTATAAAGCTTACCTTCAAAGTTATACACAGACACCTCTTTCCGACCGGCTTTGTGGTCATTGTCGTTGACATCTCCGATCTCGATGGTCAGAGTGTTGGTGCCACTCATCACAGGGTTTCCGCTGTCGCGCATCATAATTGGCATGTAGTAGAATTTGGTCTCTTCTCGATCAAAAGTGGCACTTGACTGAATTAGTGCCTGTCCATAAGGTGGTGAGGTTTCTGTTGACGGTAAAAAATTTGAAAGTAAGACCTTGAAAAACACTTTTTAAGTCTCGATCAAAAGTGGCACTTGACTGAATTAGTGCCTGTCCATAAGGGGGTGAGGTTTCTGTTGACGGTAAAAAATTTGAAAGTAAGACCTTGAAAAACACTTTTTAAGTCATGATTTTCTGAATGGCTTTGGATGGGGCACGCCAACGCAATGTATGGGAAACAATAATTTCTAGGAAAATATTTTTTAGCAATATAAGATTTATTTGGTTTTTTCATTATTCCCATTTGTCTGTAATCTAAAATTACATGTAGAGTGCTAAATTGTCATAATTTACACTTTTAATTTCCACTTTTACAGTCAACTTCCTATTAGGCTTTCATGTGTACAGTCTCCCTGTCAGACTTACGTGGAGTAAAATCAAAAGTGAACAAGTTGCGCCAGTTTCTAGGAGAAACAGCTCCATCTCCCAAGGCAAAGGTGAATGGTGGGCCATTACTTTCTTCATCAGGATCAACTGCACTAATTGTGATCACACTGACCACTGGTGGGGTATTCTCCATCACCCGGGGTGGAGGGTCAAGGTCATTGGCAAACTGAGGCCAATTGTCGTTAACATCCAACAACCTCACTTTGAGGGTACCTGAACCAGTTTGGGCTGGGACTCCTACAAATTGGTAAGAGTTTTATAAATTACTTGTTTAATTTACAAAAACTATAATAATAATAATAATAATAATAATAATAATAATAATAATAATAATAAATGTTTCTAAAAAAAAAATTCCCAAAACTGATGAACTAAGTCATTTTGCCAGTGCATCATGTACAAAATATTTAACACATTTGCTTCCCAGCAAATCATTTGTCATACAATAATTCATCAAGCATGTCTTCAAATAATTCAATTTCAAGCAATAAAATCAGTGTCAGACAGTGGATTCCCAATTCTACACTATAATATGAATCAATGTGTTATACCTACCTTTGTCAATGGCCATCAAGCATGTCTTCAAATAATTCACATTTCAAGCAATAAAATCAGTGTCAGACAGTGGATTCCCAATTCTACACTATAATATGAATCAATGTGTTATACCTACCTTTGTCAATGGCCAAAATCTTAATTGTTCTCACTGGATCATCAGGGATGGCCTCTCTGTCCAGGCCCTTATAAACATACACAATGCCTCTATTTCCCACTTGCTCGATACGGAACTTGCGCTGTCTATCTGTTCTGCGATCAATTGAGAACCTACGTAAAAGCAAGGAAAGATTTTTAAAACTGTTTAGCATTGAAAATGAGTAGTCAAGTTGTAAAATGCACTGACAAAAGCAAATAATGATGAACAACAGAGTTATTTTGTCAATTTTATAAGATGCTTAATACCAAAATCAACACCAAATTTTAACGAAATTAGGCAGTAGATTCTAGATAAAATATTATGACCAAATGGCTACCCATCATTTCGTATATTCAGATGAGACTTCTAGATGAACAAACAATCTGCAACTACTCACTCAAATTGGGCATTAACTCCAGAATCTCCATCCGTAGCTGTAAATTCTGCAATTTTAGTGCCGATTGTAACATTCTCATAAACATCGGTCTCAAATGTCTGAGGAGATATCTCTGGTGCCATGTCATTGGCATCTGTGACAGTGATGGTGATATTAGCAGTGGCAGTGTGAACGGTGTCTTCTGCGAACACCTGAAGTCTTATCACGGGGTCGGCCTTAATCTGTTCATAGTCAATTTGCTGAAATACAAAATATGACAAATGGTGGGTTATTAATAAAATTGAGATATTTACTTGTTGTGTCATTTCAAATCATCATATAGACTGACATCTTTCACTTATTCGAATTGCATTGGAAAACACATAATATGAAGACTTTTACATGTGTGATTAGATTCATGAATTCTGTTATCTTTACGAACTAGTGACCAAAAAAAGGCCATCTGGTTTTGATCCGAGGTAAAATATGTGTCATCTATGAAAACAGAACTCTAAAATTAGCCAAGATGATGTAGATAAATTTACACAACTGAGAAATTCTTAAAATCATTTGAGATATCTCATTGCTGTTTACCTGATGCACTTTAACAACTCCATATTGTGTATCATCATTGCTGTCCGCAACCTTATCAACTCTGAAGAAGTTGGAATCTGACAGTCTGAAAGTGATGGCTGCATTGCTGCCGATATCATTGTCCGAGGCAGCCACTGTTAACACTGAGGTACCAACAGTGTAACTCTCAGACATCTCCGCAGTGTAAGAACTTTGCCGAAAGACAGGTGGCTGATCATTCCTGTCTCCCACCGTAATGGTGACAGTTGCACTGGCTGGAAAGGAAAAAGAAAAACGACACGATTCCACGTGTTGTACAAGAAAAAAAATGTCTGTTCTGAAACACTAATATTATCAATTTCTTCTATAAATTGAGTTCTACAACTGCTCATTGAAATCTTTATGCGTCAAAAAAAGTTTTGCCCTCTCTGTCAAATTTTCGATTGTGCTGCCATCTGCAGGTCAAAGAGATAGACCAGTAACCTACTGCACTTTTTCAATATATAATCTTTTTCATGTCTATACCATGACATATGGCAAAAACTTGAAAATTTTGTCGGCGACAATTCTCCGCCAACATAATTTTTTCAATTTGAATATTTCATCAAACTTGGAAATGAGCCTCTTGATAATTTTGAAATCTATGTCACCTAATATGGCCAATTCAGATTCAGGCCTTTTAAAATATTGATTTATGTTTCAGAGAAGACATTTTCAAATTTTATCCCGTAATAACAAGTCCAGACTAATCTACTCACAGGATAGGCTTTGGCTACCATCTGATGGGTTATCCTGGGCCTGCACCACCAGCTCATATTGTGACTGCACTTCACGGTCGAGAGTCGTTGTCAAAGTAGAGATGCCCCCTTTGTTGGTGCCACTGCTCTGAATACTGAAAAGGTTCTGCCCATTGGCACCTACACTGTTCTGGAGGATGGAGTAAGTGACCAGGGCATTGTTCTCTGCGTCTTTATCTGTGGCCACCACTGTCATAAAGTTGGCTGAAATTGCGAAAGATGAAACATGAACCATATGCTTCTCTCTCATTTATTTTTTGCATGACTATGCTATAGTAGCTTATATTTTGCTGGAGCTTCCTAAACAAATCTTTTTTTATTATCTGGTTCATGGGTAATTTATTATGCAAGTTGAAAAATATTGTTATTGCAAAAATTGTGGTGAGGATTCATAAAATTTACAATTTACACAAAGGAAAAAATTAATAAAAATTGGAAGTGCCCCCCCCCCCCATCTCCTCTCCTTAAAAAAATCTTCACCTCACTAGCTATAAAAAAATACTCACAGACTATTTCTCCTTCCATAACCGTTCCTTTCAGCCTCTCAGGGACAAAGACAGGTGCATTGTCATTCTGATCCAGGACGTATACCTTGATCTCCGCATATCCGGTCAGGGCGTTAGGGGATGATGGTTCATCAACTGCGAGAACGTTGACCTCCCAGATTGGCCTGCCCTCCGGTGGATCACGATCAAGCGGCTTGAGTAGCCTGACTTGTCCAGTTATTGGATCAACATTAAAGTAGCCATCTCTGGCAAACTGACCGTCCAAACTGTACCGTATGGTGTTGTTACGGCTGGTGTCTGGATCTGTGGCACTTACCTGAAGAGGGAAAGGGCAAAATAATGTAACACATTGATAATCATAATGTGTGGTTACGTTACCTGAACAAGACTGCCTGGTTCATGGATAAATACAGTACTGTTAACGCATGAATAGATATATTTGCTTTAAATCCTTATTACTCTCATATTATATTGTATTAAACTCACTGGCTTGCTCTAGCTACAGCACTGAATAAACTACTCGCACCATTGTTACAAGACCATTTTAGATCACAGATAAATACCAGCCTTCAAATGAATGAGCATGCATACTATGCGTATCCATAACATTCAAAAAGAATAAAGTTATTACAATGAAAAATTTTTTTAGCTCACAATACCTTTGTCTAAAGATGATAACTTACAAACTGGACAAGTAAACTGCTGAGAAGTCACTGGATACTAGCAGGTACTCAAATTTTCTACACCTCAATGATGATTAATTGATTCAGAAAAGCTTTATCAAACACAAACCCTCAATAAATCTCTGGGAACATTGTTATCATTCTCCATGATGTCTCGCGCCTCGTAGGTTCCTTGACTGAATTCTGGAGCATTATCATTGACGTCCTTGACAATTATTTCCAAAATGGTGGTGTTGGAATGTAAGCCATCATCAACTCTGTACGTCAAGTTGTAGTGCTGGAAAAACAATGGCAGGCGTTTTAAAATTATGCCATGTTGCGGGGCGCTCATGTATTACAACAAGTACATTAAATAAAATAATAATGTCTCCTTCTTTTTTTTTGTATCTAGAGTTGAAAGTCAAAATTTCTCACAACCAGCCTCTCAAAATTTGGTGGATGATCACCAAAATGTAACAATTACAAATTGAATCACTGAGTATATATCTAATGAGGGAAAGATACAAACAGCAATAAGCTTACAAAAATGTTTTAATGGTCCTACTTTACACTGCCAAATCAAAAATAACATATATATGCATAAATGTATAACAAGCTGTTTATTCTATACAATAATGTACCACAGTGAATCAACAAAAGGTGGCACCACTCATGGGTGTTGGGTAAAATTTAAGAGGTTGATAGAGGTGGAGGGCATACTCTGTATAAAGCATGGAGGAAATTTTTCTAATTTTATTTTTGCATCAAAATAAAACATTTTTTATGAAAACCATTATAGGGCTTAAAATGCAAAGTTTACAAATTTATAACAGTTCATGTTTTAACATTAAAATGTTTAGAATTCGGAAATTAAGCATGAAAGCTGTATTGGTCTTTGTGTACAAAATTATTTTTAAATATCTTGAAAGATGGGAAAAGTGGCTTGACAGAAAGGACAATGTGAATCTGGCACGGTATTAAAGGAAAAAATAAAACTGATGAAAATCCCTCTTAATTCTACTTAAGTAAATAATCAAACAATGCCCTTTAAGATAACTCTTTAAGACTTTTTTATTATGAATTTAACTTTTAACTTTTATTATGAATTTAACAAATTTGCACACTGAATGAGTGTTGCTTCACACTACTTTGAATAAGTGAATAAACAAAACTTTTCTGGTGGTGTCAATAATAAAAAAATGGTGATGACATTTAAAGTATGGGACATAAACTAATTACCTGCACACCCGGGCTGGTGCCATTCTAAACAAACAGTCAACATTCAATTTAAAACAAATATTATTTCCCCCTGCCATTTTTCAAAAGTTGACAATGGATATTTCCAAACATAGCACAAAATTAAGTCTAGATACTTTTGAGACCAAAAATTTATATCAATGTTTCAACTTTTAAGTGGTACATGATGGCAGGAAATAAATAAATTACAACTTATTCAGTACTTATATAAAAAAACTTTAGTTGGTCAACATAAACAAGAAGTGGTTTTCCTATAAAAATGATAAATACATACTCTTGTTCCTCTGTCAAAATCTAGGCGTCTCTGCACAATGATCTCTCCAGTGTCTGGCGTTACTCCAAACGCACCGTCAATATTTCCGGCACTGATAAAATAACTCAAGGAGCCATCTAAAATGGAGAATGCTAAAATCATGGGCAGATCCGGGATTTTACAAAGCAGGATCATATGTCAAGACACCTGCATGGAACCCCTTTTTTATCCTCTTACGTGTCATAAATCTTATAAAATTAACAAGCATTTTCAATTTTGAGTGTTGATGGATAAATACGAACAAAATAAGAGATACATGAATTGTTTCATCAAAAATATCTTTTTACCTTCATCAGCATCACTTGCAGTCAACTGAAAGATGACTTCTCCAATCTCTGCGTCTTCAAACACGGACGTGTTGTAGCGAGCTTTGGCAAACATTGGCGTGTTGTCATTCTTATCCGTCACAATTATCTTAACAGTCGCCACAGCTGAGGATGAAAAAGGAAAAATAATGAAAAGGGAGAGCAACATCAGTTTGTCATGCATTACTATAAAGTCAACTTTGATAAAGGCAAATCAAATATGGAATCCAAGGTTTCATGTAAATTTAACAAAGCAGTTATTTCCCAAGCAGCAGTTCTTAAGATCAAAGAGAATCCTATCATGTATGAGATACAGCCCTCATTTCAATGTACCTACTAATAGGTATACAGCAGATTACTGAAGTTTTTAAAGCCCGATTCTAGTAGCTTGTGTGCCATTTATTATCTTCAATACATAAGCTGTGAGTTTAAGACATTAGTCTTTTGTCTCCAGTGTAAATACCTCGATTGGGTCCATTTACGCTCTTCCTGGCTGATGGAGCACTGTCTTCAGCAGCTACCGTCACAAAATAGGTTCGCCTCTCTTCCCTGTCAAATGAAACCCGTGATGTGATGGTGCCAGTGCTGGAATCAATGGCAAATTTGGTGCGATAATCTTCCTCATTTGGTTCTGGTGGAGCGAAACTGTACCTTACCTAAAAAATGTCAAATATACTCAGTAGAAAATCATTTGAATTTTCATTAGGGAATCTTCCACACAAAGTGTCACATATTTTGAGAGCATGCACCTGCAAGGCTATATCTTTTAGCTTTATCACATAAAAAGACAAATAACAGGCCTGCTACTGGCTTAAGGATAGTTCTCTTTTTCACTCTCATTACCAGTCTAAAACATGATATTTATCATTTAGAGATACAAACGAAAAGTTGTTAACTACAGTCCCAGTTCTTTGCTGAAAACCTGAAAATATCTGAGGCTAACATAACTACTGCAAAACATTCCAAATTGCATCACGTTTTCTATAAATGTAAAAAAGAGCATGATTTGCAAAAAGAAGAAAAAAAATCCACCTCTTCTTGCTATCCTGCATCTGCAACTGATCACAATAAATTTGATTCAATTTTACTTACTCTATTATTTTCATCTAATGAATTAATTTATTTATCTTTTATTCATTAACGCAATATTTTATTCATCAACACAATATCTTGTTCTAACCCCTCAGAAGGCCATGTGTAAGATAAGTGTATACACTTAACATGTTTTACCCTCTTTTAATTAAGTTCATTATTATCATTATTATTGTTATAATAATAATAATTATTATTATTACTCACCCTTTTATAATCGGGTATGGTGTCAGCATCAACTGCTTGCACTGTAACAACCTGCCAGTTGGTTTGTTCATTCTCTGGTACACTGCCCAAGATGTAACCCGAGGTATCGATATCCTCAAACTGTGGAATCTCATCGTTCACATCAATCAGTTCCACATATATGATGGCTTCTTTGTACAGGGTAAGCCTGTTCTGTGCCTTGTTCTGGTTTGAAAAGGGAAAATAGTTTTATTTAAAAATTGGTTGTAAGCAAATTTCTGTATGATTTGACAGTTTTTTATTCAATCAACAAACCTGATACTCTTTATTCAAGAAACTCAAGAAACTTTGTAGATGTAAAAAAAAAATTATAACATTCTTTCTGGGTATTCACAAATTGCTTTTTTTTTTATATTAAGTCTATCTGATGAATTTATATTCATTAGTAATTATGTTTTATGAATAACATTTTAAAATGGTGCTCACCGAAGCTTGTACTTTCAATTCATAGCGCTGGAGATTTTCGTAGTCAAGAGCTCTGTAAGTAAGGACCTCGAAGGAAGTTTCATCAACTGGTCTTTCATAAAAAGATCTTCGGACACCATTTTGGAATTCATTTCCACCATCAATGATACGGAATGACAGACCAGTCTGTCCCTCGATGGTGTTTCTGGCAGAGATGGTAGTTACAATGTGATCAGCAGTCTCATTTTCCATAATTCGATAGGTTCTGCCATCAATGTTCTCAACCCATTCTGGAGGAGTGTTGCTCTGGTCGGTGATAGAAATTCTGACGGTGACGTTTTCGCCCCGCTGTGGAGTGCCTTGGTCCATTGCTTCCACAGTGAATACTGCTTCCTGGACCTGAGGAGAAATTTCAAAAGAATCAAATATAAAGTGACTCATTCTTACAAAGTTGACAAATTAACTCATTATGTAAAAATATTTTTAGTTCAACTGAAAAGGACTTGAGCCGCTTCATTTAAATACTACTATCACAAACCTCGATAAAGATGATGTGATTCCGATGGGACAAGTATTTACCGTAAAAAAGATTCAATAACATTTGTATGTTCAATTTGTGTTTACTCATGTAATGAAGCCAACAATAAACTTAAACCTTAAGTTTACTAGATTTTAACAAAATGATCAAACAACTATACTTATAAACAAAATTGACATCGTGAAGGCACCAAAATGAAATGCAATACACTTAACAGATTCAATGAAGTAAATTATTCACAAAAGCTTACTCAGATTAACCAGTAACAAAAAATTATTAACTATTATCATAATCCTACTAAAAATCGCTACACTATTATCACTTTCTAATCATTCATGCAAATCACGTAAAAATACCTGAGACAGTGCCCTGGCTAGAGAGATAACCCCCGAGTCTTCGTTAATCTGGAAGAAAGCACTAGTAGGTGATGGAATAATCCTGTACTTCAGCTGGCTGTTAACAGCAGAGTCTTTATCCGTAGCTCGTACACGAATTACATTGTATCCAACATCCTTGTCTTCTGACAATGCTGTGGTGTATTCTCCCTTGTCAAAGACAGGAGAGTTATCATTTATGTCGGTAATGGTAACTTGGAATGAACAGAAGGCTGCTAGGGGTGGATTTCCACTGTCCTCTGCTTTCACAGTCACACTGACGGTTTTGTACTGCTCTCTGTCCAGCATCTCAGTGGTGGTCATGTTGCCTGACGTCTGGTCAATGCTGAATGGACGGATGCGAGCTTGAGGTGCCCACAGCAAGCTGTACTTGATAAGGCCATTGCTACCACTGTCTGCATCTTGTGCTCTAACCTGTTAAGAAAAAAGCAAAAAATAAAAATGCCTGAAAGATATTGTTTGTTTTTGCATTCATTTTTGCTATTTTTCTATTGGTTATATGTAACTTGCACCACAAAAAGTTTTTTTTAAATCATTATCAACATGAAAACAAAAAATAATAAAATGTTTAATTTTTTCCCTTATCTAACAACTTAAAAAAAAACTTGTTACACAAAAAGGCATTCAAGTCAGGATAGCAGTATCACCACTTGAACACCAATACTATTATACAGAATACTATTACTCAGAAATCTATTGAGATCCAACCAATCTAATTGAACCTTCAACAAAAACATTTACCTGATAAACAAAAGTAGATGGGGGAGCGCTCTCAACGATTGAAGGATTCATTGAAGCACAGTCTGGAAAATCGGGCTTTGAGTTGACAACATCCAGGATTTCGACAATGACCACTCCTTCACTGGTCAGTCTAGTCCCACCACCACAGCAGGCACCATCATCAGTAGCAATAACATTCAAGATATAGTTGGCTCGGTTTGCATCTATTGGACCAACCAATCTGATATTCCCTGTGTTATCATCCAGACGGAATGGCATTATTTGATTGGTCGGATTACCATTTTGGTCTGAAAGTAGGACGGCAAAAATAGAGGAATATATTCAACAGCATTTCTTCGTTTATCAGTAAATATTATTCAGAAATTCATAATTAACATTTCTGAATACTGAAAATGTCTGGAAAAAAAGCTTTAAAGGAAAGACTGTAGGTAATTCTAAACAAAATAATTACAAGACAGTGATATAAAAATCTAGAATCCTACAATATTGCAATAAATATTTCTTTGCAAAACAAATCACACCTTTAAAAGCAAAAGTAATTCCATCATTATCGGGATCTCTGGCTTGCAGTACAGTCACAAGTTTTCCGTCTGGTCCAGGAACTGAGTCTTCATTAACACTGACATAGAGTGTGTTGGGGATCAGCTGCGGAGGTTCGTCGTTTACGTTGGACACGCGGAGCCTCACTACTGTGGTTCCCGTCTGCGCAGGTGCTCCATGATCAGTGGCTTGGACAATAAAACGGTATGTGTGGTCCGTTTTGTTTTCATAGTCAAGTGCCCTGTGAATATTATGAAAAATTTAGAGATGTTTTTCATAATGGCCTTCATAAAAGAAATCTGACTCCGGTTTAATGCTATAATTTTGATAAATTGCAATACACATATTAAACTGTGTCAACTGTGTACACTTTAACTGCTTATAATTAACACCCACTGTAGTGACATTAAATTTCCAACATAATAATTGTGTTTCCTATCTGGTAACATACAAAATTCCACATATGAATCACACAAGTGAAAACATTTCTTAATGCATTTTCACCCAGCAGTTTTTACTTAACAAAAACGCTTGTGAACACAGTAAGAGGATACATACTTAGCTATTCTTAAAATGCCCCTGTTGTTTTCTGTGGACACACTGAAGTAACTTCCATCCAGAGCATTTTGAATGGAATAAGTAATCTGCATATTGGTGCCGGAGTCTGCATCCTGGGCAGCAACTGTGAATGGAAACCAGGCAATTAGCAGCATGACCATCATGAGGGGAAAAAAGCATGGATCAAAATCCTGGCCCCGTAGGAATTGAGTACAGGGAGAGAAGGATTATTAAAAGGAAATGGAGCACAGTCAAAGCATCATGGCCATCAGGAAATCTTTTGGACATTAACACAAAACATGACTACTAAGAAATCTTGTGAGTGGTACATTTTTATTTTATAATATGTGCTATGTAGTGCAGCCATTTTGTAAGATTTGTAAAAAACAGCAATGCCAAGAGGCGCCATATTTGTAAAGTGCACTTGCTCCCAAAAAATGAATTATTAAACAAATAAATAAATAAACGGACATAAAAACAAATAACAGTGTTACTCTTTTGCAATTCCATGTGGAATTGCAGTATCCTTAGATGTTAGATATATCACATACACACACGTGTGTGTGTGTGTGTGTGTGTGTGTGTGTGTGTGTGTGTGTGTGTGTGTGTGTGCGCGCGCGCGTGTGTGTGTGTGATGAAAACCACATAACCTTTGCTTACCTTCAAAAAAGGACTGTCCTACTGGTGTATTTTCAGCCAGTGGAGTAGGCACTATATATTCAGCCAGTGAGAAAATTGGTTTGTTGTCATTTCTGTCTAGGAGATTAACCACCAACTAAAATCAAGAACGTGGATTAAAATTTACTAGGAAATACTGAGAGAGAGAAAGAGAGAGAGAGAGAGGGAGAGAGAGAGAGAGAGAATGTCAGAAAAAGTCACTGGCTTTTAAAAAACATCATGGATGGAACAGAATTTCTTAGTGCTTTAGCTACAAATAAGTACTTATTAATGCATTTTGTATGGTACACTTGTTCCCTTGTCCAAACATTTTTCAACATACTGAGGCAGTGCTAGTTTTGCCAGAAAGTCCCTCTTGTGCAATAACTCTCAGATTGTAGGTATGTGGGTCCCTTTCGTAATCCAAGACCTTCTTGGTGCTGACGATACCATCAGTAGGGTGAAGGTAGAACTCCGCGGAGTCCTGATTTGTGTCAGTTTTCAGGGAGTACATAATTGACTGGCCTTGAAATGATTTAGCCCTTACTGTACCAACACTATGTCAAGAAAGAAAGAAAGAAATTTTTATTGAAAAATCTTCAATGTAGAATAAAATACAATTTCAGTGATTTACAACAAATACTTGTCAGGTTACTCTGGTCTTAAATACGGTTGTTGTTTATATCTAAATCATTGCAGTCAATTAAATGAAATGGATCAGGCAACAAAAAGACAACCCCTGAGAAAATGTGTCTCATTTAACACACTGTGACACTTACGTGACACTTACAGTTCTCAATCAGTCTTTGATTTTCTTTTTAAAAGAATAATGTTCTTAATCTGTTCTAGGACATTCTGAAGGACGTCCCAAAAACAGTTCTCGAAATGTTACATTCATTACAGAACAACATTAGAACTGTAAAAAAAAGAATCCAAAAAATATTCTTGAATAGATTGAGAACCGAAAGTGAACATTAAATGAGTCAATTTTTTCGCAGGGATCCTTACCTGTAACCACTATTAGCATCTTCAGGACAATCCATTGTGTATGATTCCTCAAAGAATTGTGGCGGCAACTCCCCAACGAAAATACGCAGATTTTTTGACTCGCTGACCTGGGGTGGACTGGCGCTGATATCTTGCGCCTGGACGAGAATCTCGTACTCCTGACCACTATTCAATGCTGTGACAGTGTTGCTAACTATTCCTGTTGTCTCCTGCACAGCAAATTCATCGTCACCTCCTACAGGGGTACAAGTATAAAATAAAACATTTAATGGCATTGCTTTAAATTATTGGTTTTGAATGCACTAAAGTTAAAGTTTTAATTTGGGGAAAAATGTATTTTTGGTACCTTAAATACAACAGCAGGGTCATTATAATCAGAGACAGCATTAGAGATTTACCATTTACCATACAACTTTCCCAAAATTGACAAAATGGTTTCTATTCACTGGACAAACATTTTTTTGACAAACATCCCAGACAGCCTCAGTGATCTGGCCCACGTCTGGCCCAGATCTGGCAACGTCTGGCAATGTCTGGCAAAAGGTATGGCTTGCCACAT